CTCTCTCTCTCTCTCTCTCTCTCTCTCTCTCTCTCTCTCTCTCTCTCGATGGCTCTTTCCTTCTCACCGCTAAACACTTCTAATTCTTTTCACGACGGTAAATAAATAAGAATCGCATAAGTTGCGTGTGGTTTTCATTTGGCAATGTCCCCAATAAAATGACATTTTGGAAGTATGAGTTAATAAATTGAAGTGAGTTTGCTCTCGGTTGCGAGATATACGATACGTACGAGAGAGAGAGAGAGAGAGTCTCTGAGAGAGAGAGAGAGAACAACTGAAACGAAGGTCAGTCTACTTCGATCGAATCGTAGCAAAACAATCAAATTGATTGTCGCTAAATTCGATGATTCTCCAACTGAATTATTGAACATATGCTCATCAATTTTGTCATAAACAATGCAATGCACACAAAATTCAGAAAATTTAATTTCCAAAATTGAGAAAACAGTATGACTGTTCAAGTTGAAAGCAAAAAAAAATCGATTCGAATCATATTAAAATGAAAAATCCATTCGGTTCTAAGGAATAGCAGCTCTCGATTGGAAATTAAAGTACTTGAAACAAAAACAGTACCAAAAAATGTATTTTTATGAAAAAGCAGAAAATACTTCTTACTTCAACATTCCCTTTAAATTGTAGACGCAACAGAAAATGCACGATGAAAAACGAAGAAATCCATTTGAACAGAAACCAGAGATTTTCTGTTTATCACAACATTTCCATCAACAAAATTGAAATGCTCCATTGCTTTACTCTATCAAATGGACAATCATTGTTTAAATGTAAATTGAAATGCGGTGCCAACAAATGGAAATATGATGATGTTGTATGGTATAATGAGAGACATGTCGCACATAAGTTACGAATTGCGGTTGCAATTACATAAGGCACAGTGAAGACAAGCCTCACTCAAAGTAGCCACAGGCCGACTGTGTATGTGTGCACTTGTGTATGCGTGCACCATTACGGGACATTGGACCAAAGTAGCTGTAGCATTTTAGTTGGTCGTCTCCCCGACCGCGTTGTAATTCAATTAAAATTTACAATGATGCACATGCAATTTTGAAGTGCGATATCACTGCGTTTGCTTGACATCCGATGGAAATGAGTTGCTGCCAATGATTTAAAATCGATAAAAATATCCGTAAATACGGAATTGATGATCAGTAATAGAAGATAGGAACCGATTTTGATTCGCAAGCATGATTAATTTCGCCCAATCAATTATTCACGCTCGATTGAACCGTTGTTGTTGTTGCTGTTGTTGCTGTTCGATGAATACGAAAAAAGCAAATGCGACAGATTGTGTGTGTGCGTACATCTATTTGCTGAAGAACTGGCGAGAGACAGAGTGAGAGAGGAAAAAAACAGCAACCAAATAAGCGACATACCGGCACAACACATAAGGTGCTAGTACCCGTATTTGCTGCTTAAAATGACCAAGTTTAATAGCCAAATTTGTCTTGTATGGATTGAATTTTTTTTCTATCATTCTCCATATATTTCGACTAACAAAAATTGTAGCCAACAATGAAGCCATTGTATCAACATGAATGTTCAGAGGTGCTCCGAAAAAAGACACAAAATCTGAGTCATTCGGTTCGGTTTTTGTGCGGTACATAAATGTTGTGTGTATGTGCTTTTTTTTACTCTACATCTTCAATGCAATTGAATTTCTGTTCGGGCCGAAACCAAAAACCGAAAAACACACAACTACATCGACATATGAAAAGAAACAAGAGAAAAATAAACTACGCGGCTCGGCAGTGTACGTATATTGATTCTATTCTCTGAACGAATATTTTCGTTTTATTCTAATACATTTGAAACGGTTCGTATGGTGCGATATTATCGATTCCACAACTACATTCGGTTGGTGTTTCGGTTTGCATCATCGCACGTTTCACGTCGTGTATAGAAGAAGAACATCGAATCCCGAAGCTGAACACAATTCTAGTGTGCCGAACATTCGGAACGAGAAGTATCGATGTGCGTGTGTGAACGTGAGCAAGAGTTCGTGTCTGTGTCTGCCGCTATTTCGCGCTTCTTCGCTTTCCGACGCATACACTGACGCCGGCAATCGAAAAAGTGACGTCAACCATCCCAATACATGCACATAATTTCAACCAATCAACGTTGCGCATTGGGCGTTGTCGCTACCTCAAAAGCAGTTGAACGTTGGAAATTCATCGCAGTCTTCAATTCGTGTGCGGCATTTGAAGAGATAAGTCGAGTTTTCCAAGTCGAGAAGAAAAAAATCAGTTTTGCAGTTTTTGCATTTTACAGTAATTTTTTATTTTACCAAGTGTTCTATTTAAAAGAAAAAAAAAACCAATTCAAAATGAGAGAAATCGTTCATATTCAAGCTGGTCAATGCGGTAACCAAATTGGTGCTAAGGTGAGTTTCAAACAAAACCTTTTTTTTTTTTTGTTCGTCAATTTTTTTTCCATCAGTTTTACGGCTTTTTTCCTCGTTTCCAAGAAAAAAACACATTGCAAGCAACATGTAAAATCATGTTGAACATTGAAGAAAAGTCCGTTGCTTTGCACAAAATGACACCAAAAAAAAAAAAAACATTTTCATTGATTCTTCTTTTCACTTTAGTTGTTCTTTTTCTCGTTTTATTTGCAAAAAAAAAAATGAAATAGAAATTTTTTTTAACCAATTTTCTTCTATGTTCTGTGAAAACATGACCGTTAACAAAACGAAATGCCTGGTTAAACCGAAAAAAAATGGTTAAGCATGTGTATATGTGTGTAAATGTGACAAAAGAAAAAAGATTGTGCCCATCGAAATTTCCAATTGTGAATCTCGACGTGTGTTAAACCGATAAAATCAGAATTTTCCATTACGACCGAAATGAATAATGATCCGGGCAATTTTCGGTAGAATTTTTTTTCGCAAATCACAATGACGCATTATCCATTGGCAAATTGAGGTCGTCAATTCGTACATATTTTTTTCCACTGTTTTCCATGCGACGGGAGAAACAACATTCTGATACAATGGCGGCTTAATTTTCTATTTATTTGTTAAAATGGCAGATGTTCATTATGTTCGTTCGGGGCTTCAGCATATACACACACACACATTGAGTCGACCGACTCTTGCTGAGATCATGTTCACTCACACATTCACACACACATACGCTCTTGCACGTTAAACAACACCACATCGTACAGTCAAACATGTACCGAATGCGAAGTGAGAGCAAATTCAAACGAACAAACGAAAAAAAAGTGACGCTATTCGAATGCCGCCAACATTTCCAACAAATAAATTAGATTCCGTAGCGCTTAATCCTACATTCATTTCTCACTCACGTAACACACGACCATAGCAGTTGTTGTGCACTCTGCTCTCGGCTCAAACACTCACACACTCACACACACACACACACACATTCATGTACGCATACATTGTCATGTCTCTCGTGCCCAAAAAATTCAAATGCGAATTTCAAAATACCGCAACGGTCGAAATGAAATACACAACAGCAAAAAAGCAGCAACAGCATACAATTCTTCTTTCGTTTGTTCAACACGTTTTAAGCGGATGCCGCTACAAAGTCTCTTTGGAAGTGGCGAGAGCAATCTTTTTCTCGCCTCGTCGGCAGTTTTTCTTCGGCGCTTTTCTCATTCGTTTTTTCTCTTTCTCTCTATCTCTCTCTCTCGCTCTCCCATTTTATTGCTCTTGTCTTCTAAAGTGAAGTGAAATGCGGCTTGCAATTTGATTTATATTTCTCGGTCATTAACTTTCTGTAATATTTTTGAGTTGCATTCACGAATCAAGCGAAGAGAGAGAAAGAGAGAAAAAACGCTGCGAGAAAAGAAAAAAATATGGTCGAATAGAAAAGTGCGCCGCATTTGGAATTGGCTCAAAAGTGACACACCGACGAGGCGCAACGAATGAAAAACGACGTCTGCATTGAAATGCAATGCATTTGGAAACTTCACTCAAATGGGCCCCGTCTCCCTCTCTATCTCTCTCCTTCTCCATTCATTTATATATCTTTCAATTTGAAATGTAATTTCATTTCAAAACGAAAGTCAATGCACATTATCAAGCATTCTCTTTTTTCGCCTGCTGCCCATTTATCTCTCTCTCTCTCTCTCTCTCTCTCTCTCTCTCCGCTCAATTGATATTTTTATTACTGCTGTTGCCTGCAGAAGCCTCATTTTTACCAATAGAACGAAAAGCATATCATTTGCCGAAAATTATTGGTTTTAGCATAAGTGGTGATGTTCATATGCACTTCAAATCAAGCATATTCAAGCCGCATCATGAATCGAAACGTTGGAACGAAGAAGAAAAATGTGCTCGAAACTAAAAGCGGAAAACGAACGAACACACACACACACTCACTCACACACCGCACAACGAAGAACGAGAAAAATCGATGCAATGAAAAGCGGCTGGTCGTTTGCACACAGCAGACAATAGTGTTGCCAGCAAGCACACTTTATGTATATGTCAATCACTCGTTCACTCGTTCAGTTAGTTACACGATAGAGAGCTATGGAGGGAAATAGTATAGTCGAAATGGCATACACAACAATTCGGAAACGAACAAACGAACGAGAAAAAAAAAATATTATATATTCATGCAATATATATATTGCAATGTATTGAGCGTATGGTCTTGCGTGATATTTGGTTCGGTTGGTCGAGTTTGTTCTATCGCGCGCGCTCCTTTCATGCCCAATCCATAATTGTTCGGTATGTTTTGCATGTGTAGTTGTCGTCTTGGCCAAATAATCAAGTGTCGCCAACGTTTGTACGTTGTTCGTTGCTTCGATTCTTCTTTCGTTCGTCATTGCTTCTACGGCGGCTGTTATTGTTGTTGCAATCGTTGCTGCTTCTTCTTCTTTATTTTGTTTTTGTTTTTTTTTTTCATTCGACTACTTCTCGAAGGAATGAAATAGATTCTGACACGCGAATTATAAACGTCCGTGATTCGTGTACACACTTCATTTTCTTCCTCTCTATGTGTCGTTGTTCTCATTCTTGCTTCGTGTACACCACAACACATAGGCACAACCATTCACGCCATACTTGTTGTTTTGTCTATTTGTGTATGGCCAAATATGGAAATAAATGAATAATTCCTTGTAACGAAATACACAGCGGACACATTTAGACAACGAAATTTAATTCTTTTTTTCCTTTGGTGTATAAAAACGACAAATGTGACTTCATCGCCCTGTTTTTCCTTTTGGGTCGACACAGAATCGAGCAAAAAAAAAACAACACCATCAATTTATATATATATGAGACAAATTTGAATTTTAAGAGCAACACGGCTCAAGAGAGAGAGAGAGAGAATGAGAAGCAGTGTAAAAATGTATGAACAATTTACCGGTATGCCACAAACACATACACACACACATAGCGAGAGAGACCAATACAACGGCAACGTTCCATTTTTTACTTATTAATAGCGTATGATGCGATGCGTATCGCAAAATTCATAGTCGTTGAAAGATTGAGCGTCGTTGATTGCTCGCTAGCTAGCTCGATGTGTTTGTGTGATGAAAAGCAATTTGCTGCTCACCACGAACAGAAATATGTGTATGTACTTAGCCGTCTTGAATTTGAAGATCTCCATTTAAGAGCCTTTTGCCTTGGAAAGCAGCAGAAAAAAACAGAAAACAAAATTTTTTTTTTCTTCAAGAGGAGATTATGGTATGAGTGACATGATCATGGAAAATGTACAAAAAGTACAACAGCCAGAATCTAATCATTGAAATTCGATTTTCTTTTTTCTTCGCTGTTGTTGTTTCTCTTCACTGCTTTGCTCTCGCATTTCAATCCACTTCGAAATGTGATGTAATGAATACGACTGTGATTTTGGTTGTGCATTTGGCGTTTCACACAACACACATTTCAACGTGGGTAAACCAGACTCCGAAAAGAATGGAGAAAAAAAATGAAGAATATCTAAAGAAAAAAACGAAACGACATGGAAGAAAAAAACACACTCACACTCAAAACAGAGCCATGGCACAAAAAAAAATAAATATTCGAAATGAATTAATTTTTACAATGTCGATTGTAAAAAGCGGCTTGTTAAGTGTGCCTGAGAGGGAGCCGGCGAACAAGCTGCCGCTTTCATTTGCCGTGTGTTAAGAGATTGGTTTTTTGTGACTTTTGTGCCATTTTTAGGCACTTGCCCACATACGGAAAATCAAATTACAAGAACCGGATATTTAAAATCAAGAAAATCACAACGACCAATGCCAAAATGGAAAGAAACACAATGTGAAAGTAAGAGAATGAACGAATGAAAAAAATCCAGCATAACACGAGCACGACACGTCAGCAACAAACACTCTCGGCGGCGGCAAGTTGGCTAGCGCGCACCAATAATTTTATCATATTTTTCCTTCGTCTATTTGTGCCGACATTTTTTGGTCTCTATGATTTATATTCTTCGCTACTCTCTTTTTTTTATCTATTGTTTTATCGCATTTTTTTCTGACCAACCGGCCAGGAGAGAGAGAGAGTTTGTACCTTTTTATGCATTTGCTCTGTGTTGATCTGTTTCAAAACCGCTGCTGCAATTATTTTCTAACAAAAAGAAGCATTCGCCTTTCATTTTTATAGATGTTCACCTTAATTTGTGCGCTATTGTCGTTACCGTCGCTGTTGCTGGTGGTGACTTCTGAGCGAAGCTCAAACAAATTATCACCTTCCTGTGTTTCTTCTCATCAAACATCATTTTATGAGTATGCGTATCATTATGTCCATTCTTGGTGTTTTTTTTTTGTTCGTTCGCTTCATCTTTCGCTTGAATCAATGAACAAAAAAAAAAGTAACACGTTGTCTTTGTCGTAAGCTAACTGTTGTTGTTGTTGTTCTTCAGTCGAATGAAAAAAGAAGAAGCAGATCATTCGCACTAATTAAGAAATTAGACTAGGAAAGTTTTCATCATCTACAAGCCATACACAATGCGATTGGCAGTTTATCAGTGCGCCCAAACATGAGAAGAACAAATAAGAACCAAAACACCGAGAAAAGAAACGAAAATGAGCGCTAAGAGACAATATAATAATGAGCATTGTTGCTAGAGTTAAAAATTAATAAACGAACTCGAACCACACCTAAACCGATATCGGCAACAGTTTTTCAAAGCCGCACTCAAAGCCGATTATTATGTTATTTCGGTGGGCACTTATTGAATTTAGATCAAGTTGTATGTATTATTTGCTCGTTTGGTTTTTCTGCTCATTGCGAAAGAAAAACAAAAACAATTAAAAGAAGAGTATATGAGAGTGAGTTCAAGCCGATATTTTCTGACAATAAAAAAAAAAATATAGCGGCATACACATACTAAAAATAATCCATACATTTCAAAAATTGTCAATTAGAAATGGATGATGTGTTCAAATTTCCGTTCCACGCCCAATGCTCAATTATGTTCAGTCAAGGATACCCGAAATTGGGTTTCTGATACACAAAATTATGAATAATGAATGAAGAACCGAAAAAAAAATATATGGAGATAGCGAGAAAAAACACACACACAATATGAGTCAAGAAAATCAAAACAACATTGTACATCTGTCCGACAACTCGATCAATGTGGAAAAAAGGCAACAGCAATTGATGATATGTGGCCCATCAAAGGCCATCCAATAAACAGCTATACCATTTGTTTTCAAGGAAATATGAAAATAAATGCGAATAAAAATCAACATGGATAAAGTGGCGTGTACTACATGTCCTTATCAGGAAATTTCATTCATCATTGGCCCATAAATTGGTTCAACCCGGTTTTCTCTTCTTCTCCCAATTCAGTCGCATTCGGCTTTCACATCTACGTTTCGCATTTTATTCCCATACTTGAACACCATTTTAACCATTTTATTGATTTTAATTTGACATCGAAAAATCATTTAATCAAGAATTAATTGAAATGACTCTCACAACCAATTAATGTGCAATCGAAGGAGAAAAAAAAATGCTGCAATAAAATCGAATCCGTCCTCCAATTCGTTAGTAGCAATCAATTCCCATTTTCGAGCCCACAAACAACGAATTACCGAGCCTAAAAAAGAGAGTGAGACCTAGAACTCGAAAGTATGACGCCAGAATCGATACATTTATGTCATTATAATGCTTATTTCTTTTTATAAATTTTTACCCATGCCCGTGTGCGCGAGCGAGCGCACTCGCTAACGCTTCCAATTTCGGCGCGGGCGATTTCATTGAGTTACAATCGGAAACCAAACTTAACGACGACGACGACGTTACTATGACAAAAGCCATACAAAAAAAAAACAAACACCAAACACATTCCGTTCCATTATTATTATATTTTTCACGTAACTCTCTCTCTCTCTCTCTCTCTCTCTCTCTCTCTCTCTCTCGCTCTCTCTCTCTCTCTCTCTCTACTGCATTACATATCGTTTAACAACAATATTATTTCATGTCTGAAGAGTAGTTTGCCTTCTGTTGCCTTTTGGCTTTTCCATTGCGGATAAAATAAATCGATTCATTCATTGTCATTTAAAACAAAAACCAAAACCGACACACACAAAATGAAGAGAGACAGAGAAAAGAGGTCGTGTAGTGTGTGTGTGTATGTTGTTTGGGAAGGAAATTTTCGTTGTTGTGTATAAAATTAGTTGTTTGGTGGCCGAAAGTAAAGGAGTATTTGCAATTTGCTTGGCACTCCCCTACTGTGTGTACCAACTAGCTCTAACCCTGTACCATGCGCTCGGCGGGTACGGAATTTCATCAATAAATAATTATTTAATACACAAACAATGTGTAATTTTTGTATTACATTCACAACTACAGCACTCATCCTGCTTGCTGAACGGCAATAAACGAGCGAAATTCGTTTCAATCAATTTGAGATTTGCTACTCGTCCATAGACAAAATTGTTTCAATGCCCGCCAATTGTTACACATTAACCACACAGATTCTTTTCCATTAAATCTAATCAAAGTAGCTGTAGATGACGACGACATCGATGTTGAATATTTTTCAATGAATTTTATGATGATGATGAATGCGCAGATAATGAGATTCATATTCAATTTCATTTGGTTAATGAACTGTTGAAATTGACGTTTATTGTAGAATCAACAAGATACAGAGTAAAAAAAAAACAACTAAACGCAAAAATCCATGCATAGCGAAACAAGCACGAAAACTTTGAATCTCAATTGCATAGGTGTGTTTCAATGTGTAGTTGTTTGTTGAATAGAAAAAAAAAGTAATAAAACAGAAGAAAAAAAACCTATAAAAACGCCCATTCACTTCATTTCGAATGACATGTGTTGTCGTTGATGAAAGCCATTACTAGCCTGTGCCAACAACAAAACGAATGCTCAATTAAAACTTTGAAAATTTAATTATGACATACGCCCAACATGAAACGACATTCATTCATTCCATGCATTCGTGCCGCAGATACTTGCTTTTGGAAGAGTCCAAATGACTCTTTCCGTCCAACCATTTGCGGCTAGAGCAACTTTTCAAAAAAACCCATCAGTTAATCTTTGGCTATTTACTTTTCGATGTATAGTCAATTTCATAGTATGGGAACAATTGTCACTTGTGCAAAGCATTAGCCTTTTCGGAATTAAAATCGACATGTCGGACCGTTTCAAGCGGAGTTGTTTCTTTTTTTTTTTTCGAATATTTGATCTAATTTTGGATTTGCATTTTTCTTTTTTCTTCCGTTGCAATTGTATAGTTCTGGGAAATCATCTCCGATGAACATGGCATCGATGCTACCGGCGCCTACCACGGTGACAGTGACTTGCAGTTGGAGCGCATCAATGTGTACTACAACGAAGCATCCGGTGGCAAATACGTGCCACGCGCCGTGCTCGTCGATTTGGAACCAGGTACAATGGATTCAGTGCGTTCAGGACCATTCGGGCAAATCTTCCGTCCCGACAACTTCGTGTTCGGTCAATCGGGTGCCGGTAACAACTGGGCCAAGGGACATTACACCGAAGGTGCTGAATTGGTCGATTCAGTATTAGATGTTGTACGTAAAGAAGCCGAATCATGCGATTGCTTGCAAGGTTTCCAATTGACGCATTCCTTGGGAGGTGGTACCGGTTCCGGTATGGGTACCCTTCTCATTTCGAAAATCCGCGAAGAATACCCAGACAGAATTATGAACACATACTCAGTCGTACCATCACCAAAAGTATCAGACACCGTTGTTGAACCATACAATGCCACATTGTCCGTTCATCAATTGGTTGAAAACACCGACGAAACGTACTGTATCGATAACGAAGCCTTGTACGATATCTGCTTTAGAACGCTTAAGCTCACAACACCAACGTACGGAGACTTGAATCACTTGGTATCGTTGACGATGTCGGGTGTCACCACCTGTCTTCGATTCCCTGGTCAATTGAATGCTGATTTACGTAAATTGGCCGTCAACATGGTACCATTTCCACGTCTTCATTTCTTCATGCCTGGTTTTGCACCACTCACATCACGTGGCTCACAACAATACCGTGCCCTCACCGTACCAGAATTGACACAACAAATGTTCGATGCCAAGAACATGATGGCTGCCTGCGATCCACGACACGGTCGCTATCTCACCGTTGCCGCCATCTTCCGTGGTCGTATGTCAATGAAGGAAGTCGACGAACAAATGTTGAACATCCAAAACAAGAACAGCAGCTACTTCGTTGAATGGATTCCAAACAACGTGAAGACCGCCGTTTGTGATATTCCACCACGTGGCTTGAAAATGTCGGCCACTTTCATTGGCAACTCGACCGCCATCCAAGAATTGTTCAAACGTATCTCCGAACAATTCACTGCTATGTTCCGTCGTAAGGCTTTCTTGCATTGGTACACTGGCGAGGGTATGGATGAAATGGAATTCACCGAAGCCGAGAGCAACAGTAAGTTTTCAATTTACTATTCATTTCTCTTCTTTTTTTTTCAACTCTCAAACATTCAGTTTCGATTTACATTCCAATCGATTCACTCCTTTGTTGTTTTCTTTCATTGGAAAACGTTCATTTTTTATTTTCATTTTTTTTGTTTCGATGCACAGCTTTTTATCCCAATGCCCTGTTACTTACCCACACATTTTTCTTCTCTTTCTTTTTGCTCACCAGTGAACGATCTTGTGTCGGAATACCAACAATACCAAGAAGCCACCGCTGATGAGGATGCTGAGTTCGATGAAGAACAAGAAGCCGAAGTTGATGAAAACTAAGCGCCCTAACCGTGCGCCACTCTCAGAGTTTCGATTCAATTACGAAACAAACATCAACATCAACAGCAGCAGCAAAACAGCATAAACAAAAATCTCTATGTATTTTGTGTGAATATATTAACAGTTGTCGTCATTATAAACAAACAATGCAACGCCCGGTATTAAAAGATTTTCGTTTTAATTTTTTTCATCATCGCATGAAAAAAAATCACAAAACAAAATCAAAAACAACAAAAAAAAACAATTTATATTAATTTACAAAAAAAAAATTCCTTTTTGCTACTCAACCAAACAAATCTATTGCTGATCAAAATTAAACAATAAAAACGATACCGTACACCTAAAACCAACGTTTTGTTTAATATTTTCTCACTCTCCCGGTAACTAAAATTAGAAAATCTCTTTGGTTCAGAGGTAGTGTGTGTGTGAGACACTCTCAGCAAACATGTAACAACAAAACAAAAGCAATTTAAAAGACAAATTTTTACAATTAAACAACAAGAACAACAAGAAAAAAAAAATATTGAAATAAAAAAAAAACAATTGGCAGCATGCAAACGAAATAATCATAATTCCCAAGCACAATTTTCTTCATTTTTTTTCTCTTCTTTTTTAAATTTAATTCTCTGTATTCTTTGTTCAATCTTAACCCAACAACAGCAACAGCAGACATGTTTTTGTTCCGTTTAAATTAAGCTAAATAGAATATAGAGTTAATGAAAGGGAAAGAAAATATTGAATGAAAATTGAAAGAAACAATTCGCTTAATAAATAACAATGTCAACTGTTTTAAATGGAACCTGGTTTTTATTCGCATTTTGGCTGTGTTTTTCTTTTCTTCATCCATTTCATTATCCATCCGTTGCATGCTCATCTTTCATTTTTTTTTCTTCTCTTTGTTTCTTTAATGGAAAGTGCAAGGCGAGTTTGAATCTCATGCATCTGAAAAAAAAACCATGATTTTTTTTGCAGTTGGGTATTTATCATCAAAAGACAAAAAAAAAATATGCTAAAAGTCGAAGCGAAAAAAAGAAGAAAAAGAAAAATGCTAATTTTTTTGGCCAAAACATAAATAAGAGCTGTGCGCTTAAAGTAGCATATATATTTATCTCTTTTTTTCCGGAGAAGTGACTGCATAATTCATGATCTCATATGGTTGTGAATCATGTCATATTTTTGCCCCACCTTTGGTAATTTTCATACAAAAATGTAAACAAGTGAAGTGTGTACCACACCGAAAAATGAAGAAATGTAATTATTTGAAAGTGGTTTGTATGTTTGACCGAAATTGTGAACGGAATACAAAATTTTTCCACATTCTAATCGAATAGTCTAGTTTCCTGCGGGATTCGAAGCTCCGTTTCGATGTAATAAGACATAGAAGAAACAGGTGCAAATAACAAATATTGACCCAGTCTACGTCAGGAAAAAAAAACCATAGCACATTTACTGCGGTTTCTCTTTCTTAATGCGCTTTGTTCATCTCGCTACTTTATGTAATTTAATTTCCAGTCTTCAATTGAGCATTTTTTTGGAGCCATTCCAGCAAATTTAATTTCGCATTTAATATTCGGTTATGTTCGCTCATCCTCCCCCCAAAATGATAAACATTTTCAAGCGTTTAAACATTCATCACGATAAATATCCGTAATTTTCTCATTGTCGTCGTTTGTTGATATGCGAAGCAGCACCAAAGCAAAGCCTACAATATTCAAACAGCAGAGGATGACTCATGCAACAGTACAGCGCGATTGAAACAAGCGAGAATGAATCACGCGGTTGAAAGCACGCAAGAGCAGACCGTAAACAGCCGTTTTTGCCATTTATTGCTGCATGTTTGCATGGTGTTTTATATGCATGGAAACGGCGTTTGTATGAAGTAAACTAAATGTGGGGGTCGGAAAGTCGTTCTGTTTCGACATAGAAATAAGGAAAAAGAATGAAAAAAAATTGTGGATAGTGCCTTCTTCGGCATATATACAACACACGAATTTGCTTGGGTACAAAGTTTTTCGATTATGTTAGAGTCTCACACCACGATTTTCGGTCCACCAAATACACACTCGATGACTCATTCGAATAAGGGAATATTTCGTGCGTTTTCTTTTTTTTCCAGGCGGTACGTGCTCTTTCGCTCTCGGTCGGCTCAACGGAACCACTTTGGATATTGTCGACGCCAATCAGCCAAGTCATTTATATTAGGACGCGATAATCATACGTATAGAAGTAAAATAAACGAATTATAAGGTTTAAGAATTGGTTAGGATGACGAATTTCAGAGCTAGCTAACGATATGCATTCATGTCATTGAATAATAACGTTCAACAAGAAGAATCGCTTAAATTTTAAGATGAAAATGAGAAACGATTGACAAAAAAATGTTAGTTTAAATGTAATTAATCACTAAACAAAATCAGTTTAACATTTTCGCGTATCAATCTTTCATGAATCACAAACTGACCTATATATGAGGCTGTTTATATTTTTTTTTTCTTGATGTGCTTCAGAATGTTTATTCCTGTATTGCCATTTTCATTCTCACAGCCTCATATATGTTTACTATGTGTGTGTTTTTTTTAAATAACCTGAACTGATGAAAAAAAAAAAAAACAAAAATTTAAAACGAAAAGAAGACAAATCGACACCATTATGAAAGAGTCACACAAAAGATATAGCGAGCCTTTTTTTGCCAAAATGCTTATATATTATTATGATCTATGTAAAAAAAAATTGTAGAGATATCAACAAATATTTGAAAGAGAAAAAAAAGAAGATGTACGGTTAAAAATCCAAAACAAAAATAAATACGTTCATTTGTTGTTGTTAGTTAGATATGATGAGAAATTAGTATGTTTTCTGTATAGAAATGATATATTTGAGAAATAAAAATATGCGCCTTATTATTGCAGGCCTAAAGAGGTATGGGTATATTATCTCAAAATAGTGACATGTTTCATTTGATTTGGTAAAATACGAGGAAATAGCATTCATGTACATTTCAATAGGGTAATGCAACGTCCTTGACACATTTTCTTACGGTTGGATGCATCATTTTTTTTTTTTTTTGGTCGTCACTTCAAATTCATTCCGTTAAAATCGTTCCAATGCAACGAGAAAAAAACATCGGATGGACATTGTACAAAGTACGACCCTTGCTGCATCGTCAAATATCGACACACATACACAACTGACTGACTGACAGTTCGTCGAACACAGCTCATCAAATACACACACACACACACGCGTCCGTACAAAGTGTCATCAAGTGACAGTACTGCGTTGTGTTGGTGTATTGGTTGTTATCATGTTACTGCCGAACCGATTCGACACCATGTTCATTGTTCAAGTGCAACCAACGTGTGCTTCTCTGCCATAAGAACCAATGAATTTGACGTGACAGTGAATAGCGGTGGCGTCTAAATAGAATCTGCGGCAACTTTAGGAACTATCAATACTTCTTGTTGTTGCAAAAATTCGTGACAACAACAAAAAGTATTGATAGTTCTTAAAAACGCCGCAAATTGCTAATACATCTTATTTAGGCGCCACCGCTATCTTGCGCCGGCCAAAAGCATAGGTTGAGTGCAACATTTCATATATTCCATAACTTTTGGCACTAATTTCGTCAAAGTGATTTGAATCTTCGGTTAATGTTCATAAAAACCCAATTGAGTGCCTCTAAGCGAAGAGTGTTTCGGCGAATTGTTTGTTTTGGCGTAGAAAACGGTACCAATTCCCAATTATTTCATTTGATTTTTCTTTGTGTGTGCGGTAATTTGTTCCAAAATCATTGCAACAAATACAAATTGAGAGCCGCATTTTGCATATGATTTCTGTGTGATTAGTACTAGTTTTTGTTGAATTAATTTGAGAGTGCGAGAAAAGAACGTAATTCTTTGGAAAATTCAAATAATTCGTCAACAGTTGAAATAATTCACGGTAACGCCAAATTTCCTCGTTCGAATGCGAATATCATTGAATACCGCAGTTGTAAATTGTCCAAATAAGTTGCGACATCAATCGCATTGACAACAAAGTAAACAAAAATCCACTGCATTAATATCAATAAATTGTTCATGTGATGGCATATAGTTTTTTTTATACTCAAATTTGTTACGTTTCTTTTTTTTTGTTGTGTTCGTCTCTTTCCTTTCTAGTAGCGACACCTGTACACAACATTTGGTACCACACAAAACTACTTTTCAATCATTGCTTCGGTTCTTCTTCTTCTTTTTGAAAAGAAAGAAACCTGAACAACATCATCGTTCTTGCCGTCGACCGAGAAATGGGAAACATCTGCATTTCATTTACTTTCCATTGAAACAACAGTTCTTCTGGTTTCCTTCCAAAAGATAAATATGTTGAGTATTTGTAAAGAGAAAATTCGAGCTGTTGCAATTGATTGACCTGTAAGTATTGCCATCGTTTCCCCCCGTTCGTCATCTTCGTATTCATTGCACGCACAAATGCAAAACTGCCCTCGGAAGACAACACAAACCATATTTCACCGATATTGCATTGGCACGTATTTTTTTTACCGTTTTCCCTCTCACTCACACAAACGACAACAACAAGTCATTTCATTTGCCGTTGCCCTTTTCGAGCGTGGTTTTACATTTATTCAGCTCTCTAGTTCAAACTACTGTCGATTGTGTGTTACATATTTTATGTAGAATTTGCGCGGTGTGTGTTTGTAGTCTGAGAGAGAGAGAGAGAGGGAACGAGAGCGAGTGACACACAGACAAGGATGGGTTGTGAACGAAACAAAAAACAGAACCAACAAACGCTTGGACTGTAACATTTGATGAGTTTCGTTGTTTCTGCTATGTCTCTCTCTCTGTGTGTGTGTTCCTTTTTTCGCCTGCGATATCCTTGAACGCAGAACAAAAGTGTGTGCGTTTTCTCGATAGAATGATATGCACACTCAGCATTGTATGAATAATTTCTGTATATTAGTTTACGGTGCATGCGGACAATATGGATTTGTGTACGAGTAAAGGTGTCAAACGGACGGACAACGGACGGACATTTGCTGTCCGTCCGTCCTTTTACAAATTTAGGACGGACAAATTTTTTTGTCTGTCCGTTTGAAAATTTTGGACGGACAAATTTTTTTGTCCGTCCGTTTGAAAATTTAGGACGGACGGACGGGCATTTCTTACAGAAGGACGGACAAAAGTATATGTTCGTTTGACTCCTGACGATATTTTTAATAAAACAATCAAACGGACGGACAAAAAATTGTGTCCGTCCTAAATTTGTAAAAGGACGGACGGACGGACTAACGAGTGTCCGTTTGACACCTTTATGTACGAGCGTGTTCAGGCATTTTGGCCATGTCGATGAGACAAGAGGGAGAGTGAGATAAATAGAGAACGAGAGATTTCATACCGAAAATTGCATTGAATTGATATTCGACGTTGGCAACAATCGCTCATTTTGTGTATAGACTAAGCAAAACAAAACCTGGCCGACGATCCCATTGTTTACATTCAACGGTTTCCATTTAATTTTCACTTGGTTTCATTTGTCGTTTATTTTTGGCCGCTACGCCATATCCATCGCAAAAACAACAAGCCCATAAATTATGCACGTTCCTGCTTATGCACTGCAACCGATTTTCAATTGAATGCCTGATTAAGCAATGTATAACAAGATCACGATCGATGGCCAGTACGAGTAAGGATACAAGTGGTGTCGATCTCAGAAGATCAGCGGCCGAAACTGACAGCGAATCTTCTATTGACGGACAGCCGCGGGCAAAAATACCAAAAATACCATCAACACCATCGACACCATCAAAACCATCATCAATTTCTCCTACATCTAATGCAACGATTGAATTTGAAGCATTTTTTATACGAAGTTGCATATCGTTGTGCAAATAAAAAGTATTTTATTTCAGTGCAAGGAATTTGAAAGAAGCATATTTAATTCTTCGAAAGAAGAGTAACGGCAAGTTATCAACTCCATGTGGAATGCGCGTAAAAATAGCAATAACGCCAAACTGTGCGCTGAACATATCCGAATTTGAGGACAATCAAGCGAAAATTGACGATCGTTTCAAACATACAGACGTCTGCGACATCTTGTCTGGTCACGCTTTGGACGAAAAATCAGTACACAACTAATTTTATTATTCATTTTTTGCAGGGTTGCAGAAAAAGATGTCCGTTTGGTCATCGGAAAATTGGTCGATGCCATCGGATATTTCAATGATACAATGTAAATTGTGTGTAAGAGTGAATTTTAATTTTAAATCTAATTTCGTTATTTCGTTTTCCTTTTCATTAGTTCAATAGTAGATGGAGTATTCGAGGAGTTAGGCTTCAATATTGAAAATATCTCAGCGGCAAAAAAAATATCGCATTTAGTTCGTAAGATGTCACCAAAGGGTAAATATCCAAAATATCCGATGGACAAGCTATGCGATGGTTTCAACCACGCTGCTTTTGACTTCACATTCAAAATACGACGAAAAACATTGTGAGTGAATTTCAGAATATACTATGAACAAATGGTTGTTTTGAATAATTCTTTGTTTCCAGTGGAGACTCGACTGACCCTTTGCCCAGAATGTTGTATGATATCTCAAGAAAATGCAAAGCTTACAGAAAGCAACTTAATATCATGAGGTGAGTGAAATTTTGTGAAATTGTGATTAACTCATGTGTTCTGTTGCCAATCTAAATGGATTCAATTTTTTTTCAATTTCAGGGAAGCTGTCGAAAGAAACCGTGCAACAAACCAAACTCACGAAACCGGTGAAGATGCTGAAAACCCGAAAGATTCGACTGTTAACCAAATCGTCGTTGAACACCGCAGTAAAACTCCTCCGGCTGTTAGCGTTTGAACAAACCCAAATGATGTGACCATTCATTCCAATGCAAACGTTACGACTGTTGCCGAAACCATTGATTCCAACGCAAACGCTTCTACAGCCGCCGGTAAGGGGTCCGCTGGCGATGGCGATGCTCTAAACACATCTCCAACAAGCAGTGATAGTGTTTCTATTGCTTTTTCGGAACCACGTTCATTGGATGATACGGAACAAGATGTGACGGACGAGTTCACATTGGGGCAATTCGATCAGCCAGGAGAAAAGAAAGAAACAAAATAGAAACAAATAAAAAACTTCCAAGAAAATCATTTTACATTCGTTATAAAATTTAATGCAATTTCGGTAGATACAATAATACAATAAATGAGAAATAAATTGGGCAGTTAATTGATGCTAACCATGGAAATGTCAGTGTTTTCATCAGAAAAATTATTACACTTCATTAGATCATGAAAGGGGAAGTTCTGTTCGAGTTTCAATTGATGCTGAGCTGAGGTATAATCAAGATGAATATCGTTGAACCCGCTGTCGGTGCGGTCAAGCGGTAGAGCTGAATGTTCGTGCTCTTCAATTTGATTGAATGAACGCGACAGATTCTTTCGATTAACTGAGCTGCATCGTCGCTTGCTTTTGTTCATGGTGGGCGTTTGTGGGTGCTTCTGCAACCCGTACGACAATTACATTTCGTCGTCATAGGAAAAATTCACCGTGTCATTTGATTCAGACGATCGCTCATCAGTCATGTGAAAGGATTTTCGTTTGCTCGAGTGGCTGGAGTTCACGGCGTTGTCAGTGGAGGTGTCGAATGATTTCCATCGACTGGTCGACGAACGGTCTGGTGTGCTCCGAATTAACGATGACGCAGAATCCTCTCGAAAAACTAATTTGTTTCTCGTTTAAGCTTTTACTGGGTACTTCAACGAAATCATGTAGATTTATGTCAGCCAAATGAGAGACAAGACAGTTAAAATGTCATTCGTGATTAAAATTATTGAGAGACAAGAGTTTTTTTCTTCTCCTCTTTGTGATGTGAACTCTGAAGATCTCTCGTCAATCATTCTGCAATTTGGTTCTTTGCCCACGCACTCATGTCTGCAATATTTGTAGTTGCAATTTCGATTGTTTATTTACTGCCATTTCATTTTCAATCTTCCTACTCTCAGAATTCAAAGGAGGCAAACTAAAAAGGATGCATACTCAAAATTACGATGACCTCGTAATGGGGGGTAAACCAAACTAAATCGATTGTACTTAATGTGTACTAAAACGTACCGCATTTCAAAAAAAGTGTACTATTCAAGATTTCGAATAATTGGAGGGTCTAGATTTGAGCATTTTCAAAATTACGAGGTATACGGTAAAGTATGCAATTTGAACAAAGCCACGGTCGAAATAGGATTAGTGTTATTGTACCAAATGTGTACTATAAATTACAAATATAAATGATAGCAATATCGGCCTTATTTGGCGAGTTATCGCTCGAACCAAGATTTGGCTCAAAGTACAAATCCGTTTTATGATTTTTCTTAACGAAATGCATACCAGACCGTGGCAACAGGTATGAAATTAAGGTAAGTCAATTGATATGAATTGTACTACTCTGGAAATTAACAAAACCAATCAGTATAACAGCTGTACCTTCCTGGTTTGGCAGTTTGTGTAAGAAACCAAGAATTAGTTCGAGGTACATATATCCTAGGGGTTTCATTCAAGGCTTGAAAAATGTGAATATTGTGGATATTTTTCTCATTGAATCATCGTCAATATTTCGATTTTATGTGAATGTTGTGAATTTTGTGAATATTTTGAATAAAAATTTTCAAGATGACGACGAATTCAAGATGACGGCTGATGAGAACGCCAGAACTGTCAAATAAGAAAGACTGAATATCTGTGAATATGAGTGAATATTCTGAATATGGCTTAAAACACACCGGAATATATGAATTTTCGGATGATAAATTCCCCTAGCATATATCTCTTACGGATTTTCGTAACAATAATTGTACCAACAATTTTGACTGCGATGGAATTAAGTGTGATGTATTGAAATTAAATGTACTCATCTTAAAATGAAAAATACTAATTATTCCGCGAATGATCAAAAAAGAAGAAGAAGAAAGAAAATGAAAAAAAAAAATTGGTCTGCTCACGGAATCGAACCCTGTAGCCTATTTCACCAAATGTTTCTCAAAAATTAGGCGAGTCTCCCCAGACAAAAACTCTTAAAATTGGCTTTTTGCGGCACCTCCCGAACAAAAGTTACGTTTTTCATGCATTTTGCTATGAAAATATCAATTTTTGTTCGGGAGGTACCTCAAAAATACACTTTTTAGATGAGTTTCTTAGTAAAAAGTTATTTTTTTCGAGAAATATTGGGAATCTTCTCATATAGAAGCTCTTGTGAATGATTTTTGAGGTACCTCCCGAACAAAAATTGATATTTTCATAGTAAAATGCATGAAAAACGTAACTTTTGTACGGGAGGTACCTTAAAAAGTCAATTTTGAGAGTTTTTGTCTGGGGAGACTCCCCTTATTTTTGAGAAAAAATAACTTTACGTCAAGACACCATCCCTAAAAAGTCTATATTTAGGGATTTTTCGGTCGAAAGTCGATTTTTTGGGAGTTGAAATCGAATATGAGGCCAGAAATATGTGAAAACATCACTCGATTTGGTCGTGTTGGTACTTAAAATGTTCGTAAGGGATCATACTAGATGTTCAAAGGCAGAAGAGGTAGAAATCGTTTGCTTTTATCTGTCAAATCGAAGCTCATTTTTGTGATTTGCTCATTTTGACCTGAAATTTGTCTTTTATATGTAAATCAATTGACACCGAAATTCATGCAAATCACAATCTGACAAGTACCAAAATGTTTGTACAGGTTCTGGCTACATGACACAACTCAAAAACTGAACAAAAGTCTACCACCTGGGTGACCAGTAGAGCGAAAAATGCAAAAAATGCCGAAAAATTGCCATTTTTTTTGGTCATTTTACACTGTAACTGGCCCAGAATGCCTTTTCAAGGCCTGATGTCTTGGTAAAAGTTGTAGATATTGACGAGCCAAACAAAACCTTATCATCAGTTTTTGGCAATAATTGGCTGGAAAAATGATTTAGGTCGAAATGTTGCGATATGAATTGGCTTCCGAAAACACTGTCATGAAAATTTTGATATGGGGCTTGCCATGGGTTTTTATATGGTACCCATATGATTTTTTTAGACAAAACCTATTTTTTTTAGGTATATTTTTCGAAACTGCCCGGGCCTTTTGGATGAGGGGCAACTTTTTTTTTTGGAGCAGTCTAATATACTGTCAACAATCAATGAAAGCAACCAATGACACCTACAATTGAAGGTATTTGTATGGCAAAATACTTCCTACTTGCAGATGGCGCCAAACCAAACGTCATTCTAGTCATTTTCCCATTGTTGGCCGTTTTTTGATTGCATCCACTAAAAAACATATAGGGTCTAAATATTTCTTTTACTTTAACACATGTTAAGTCGATTTTAGTGATAAAATAGCACTACCTTTTCTGAAGTACTATTCCTACATTTACCACTATTTCGGGTTTTAACTTATCACCGGAAATTGGTACTAACGGATGTATTTAACACCAAACGTAAATATTTCCGTTGGAAATACCACCAATATCGGTATCAAATATGCCGATTTGCCACTAACACAGATTTTCGTACTATTGTAAATACGCTCTTACTTTGGAGTTAGCCACAGTACGAAAAAAGTTATCACGAAAAAGAATATTCTAATGTAATTTCTATTGAGTTATCCCATAATTTCGTGTTATAGTTGTACCCACTATTTACTAGTATTAGGAATATCACCAGTTCTGGTTATATGTGTTGCCAATATATATTATTAGATGCAATTTCGATAATAATTCTCAGTGATTAATTTTATTTAGTTCACACTTCAATTTTTTTTGTTCAGTCAAATTTTTTTGTTCAGTGAGTTCATACACATGTTTCCGAAAGACATTGTTGGATCAAAGATCATCAAATTTAAAAAAAATTAAACAACAATTTTCCTATCTCTGGAGTCTGCATTCTTATTGATACAGATCCAAAATTGATATTTTTCCAATTTATAAGATTTTTTCGTGGATTAGTTTCTTAGGCTTGAAAATAACTCGAAATTTCCCGATTTTTCTTCAAAACTTCCAAAAGGTTTGAGAAGTTAGATTTTTAACCTGAACAAAATTTTGAACGCATTGAATGATAATTTTGAGAAAAATAAATGAAACTTCTAGCAGACTTAAAACTTAGACTTCAAACCTGAATAATAATTTCAAGCCTTTTAAAACAATATCAATTTTCAGAACAAATAAATGAAATTTTTAATTTAGCTTAGAATTATTATTCAGGTTTGAAGTCTAAATTTTAAGTCTGCTAGAAGTTTCATTCATTTTTCACAAATTAATCATTCAATGCGTTCAAAATTTGTCCACGTTAGAAATCTAAGTTCTAAAACCTTCCAGAAGTTTTGAATAGAAATGAATTAGGCTTGGAAAAAATCGAAATTTTATTTCTTAATTTGATCTTGTTTTAAGAATAATTCCAAAATATCCAAGAAATTTTTTCTAGATATAAATAGCTGAAAGCATTTCAAACAAATAAACAATGTTATTAAACAATAAAATATAATTGGAATTTGCAATCATCTATGTTAAAACACAATTTGACGTCATTTTTCCGTTTTAACACGAATTTCCACCATTAGCACCAAAATACGGAGATAACACGTATTAAATGCATAGACATATTTACATTTCCAGTGTTAAACTAGTACCGAAGTTATCACAAAAATCAAATTAACACGTGTTAAAGTAAAAGAAATATTTAGACCCATAGTGTAAAACATCAAATTACCCACTGTTTTTTGCCATTGTAGGCAAAATATCAGTTTACCTATATTTTTTGTGGAACGCTGTTCCATTGTATTAACAATGGTATAAACTGGTACTCGGTCCCGGATATGAATTTTTTTGATGGTGTAAATATAAATTTTGCGAATTGATCCGAAGAAGCCGAACCGAACCGAAACAAAACAAAAATGGTTTTTCAAATTTTCTTTCCTACATCATTTTCATCTTATTCCGAAATCGTCGTCCTACTCATGGAAAATAAAAAAACTCAGGGCCATGGATTTATCACCAAACAAAAGATTTCCTCGTTTTATTTTCATAAATATTTTATTTGTTTCCCGTTGGTAGCTTCAAACAATACTCAATATTGATATTTAGCTCGGACTTTTGCCGATTTATCTTTTTGAGTAGTGCCAATTTTTTGCTAACATCATTTGATGATTCTAATTCGTATAACGTACATAAATTCAAGATAAGACTTTCGCTAAGGTCTTTCTGTTCGTTCGCCGTTATTGCTCGCTCAAATATGCCAATCGCATCCTTTTGCTTGCCCAAATACAATAGACACACGGCCATATTGTTCAGAACCAGCGCATTTGTTGAATCGATAGCTAATGATTTTTGAAAGAATGAGTAGGCCTCTTTGAAATCATTTTGGGCCACCGCTATCAAGCCACGATCGATAAAGTCACGTGAATCCGATTCGGCCGTATTTGTCACGCGAATCCGTCGCGCTTCAGAGAATTTTCGCTCAGCACCAAATACGTCACCACATTGCAAATAGATTCGACCCCATGACGAGTACAGCGAACGCATCGTGTCCGGATCGATCTCTTTCATCGTTGTCAACCGTTCCATCAGGAAATCAGCCAAACTGAAGTCTTTTATCTGCAAGATTTGACAAGGGAAACTCATTAGATTTTTATCCAAAAAAATTAAATTGATTTTTTCTGGTTTTGTATCTTGATTTTCGTTTTTATCGATGAATTTGGAAGTGTCTTTCCTTCAGAAGACTTTGAAATTATAATCTATCAATAAATAATGAAAAAAAACTCTTTAAATAGGAAAAGTGAATGAATATCTTCCGAGTTCAAAGTCTATCTAGGACAATTTTAATGAATATCTTCCGAAAAGACTAAAAAAAAATTATAAAATCTTATTAAAAATGAACGAGTTTTGAAAATTCTCTTTTGCTTCGATTCAATCGCACGATGTCAATTGAAATTACTACCATATGAAATTTGTTAATTAGTCGCTCATTCATGTTTAATAAGAAATCAACAGGTTTTACGTTTGACAGGGAGGCCGTACCGTGAGAGCGCAGTTAATGAGTGCTTGCAAAATGGTTTGTTCACGTTTTGTCCAGAATTGTTCGGCTTTTTCATTGGATTCGGCTGCAAAATGCTCGCGAATTTCTTTCGACACAAGAAGCATATCGGTGAGTCGATCTAGTGCCACTTTGTGCAAACCCAAATACGAAGGTAGCTTAGCGATTAGTAAACGAAATGAAAATGTGGCCATCGATCCCTTGCGATTGTTATAGGCTTCAGGATAGAACTGTAACGACAAAAAAATTAAATGAGGTTTTCTTTAGTATAAAAACGAGGAAATGAAAAAAAAGTTGAAGAAATATCACTGACATCATAGTACATATCCGGCCGTTCCAGTAGACCAAATGCTTCGGCTTCTCTTTTACACAAATCATATTCGCCGAGTTTGATTAGAAGCGACAATCGGGTGAACCAAAGTTGCAAGGAATGTGGAGTATGTCTTGTTGGTTGACCGGCACGGCCAAAACCTTGCCCGTACGTCGTTAGACAACGAAATGTTAAATTCGCAGCCGCTCGAAATGATCCAGCTGCTATCAATTGTTTCACACCAGCCACATCTTCTGACACATCATTTATGGTCAACGATTGCCGTTCATTCGCCTCCGTTTCGCCTAGTAGATATGTTACAGCTGCTTTTATCGGATCGCTCTACAAATGAAAAAAGAGGAATTTATTGATAATAATTACGAAATTTAATTTGGATTTTGTCCAATTAATGGGAGTTTTTTTTTCAGTGCGAAACGAAATTTTAGAAAAATTTTACACATTTCAAAGGTAATTTCGAAGCGATTTCTATTTGGGAAAGGAGAACATTACTAAATGGAATTATTTTAAATAATTGTACTTTTTTATATTTTACTTTCTGTCTTGGTGTGAAATTTACCCGATTTGAATTACAAATTTTACGAAACTTTCGTAAATTGTATTGTCTAAATTGAGTTCTTATCTATTTTTGCTAAAGAAAATCCCAATATTGACCTAGATTATTAAAAAAAAAAAACCAAAAATCAATTTTTTTTTATTTTTGTACTGAAAATAACCACATTCTCCGTTCGTTCTGTTTTTGAACGGATTTTCGTTGTCTTTTTTTCATTAAACTTTCTTTCATAGTTGAAATTTCGAATGATTTTTTCTGTAGCCTTCGTTCTACTTTCGGAATTTTTTGAATAACATCTTGAATTTGTCCAAGAATTTTAAATTGTGCCAAAATACTTCCAAATTATCGAAATCAATTGATCATTTGCATTAGCCAATGACCTCTTTTACTGACCAAACTAAACAAACATGTGTAAGATTTTGAAAATTGAATCAAATTTTCTCACTGGATGTGAACGATATGAAACTCTTGCATGGAACGTCAAATCAAAATTGAGTTAGTTCCACTTGACCTTGTTGGTTAAATCAATCTTTTTCTAAACTATATCAAATAACGATAGAAGCGATAACAAATTGACATAAAAAAGATGAATCTTTTGCGTTAAAAAATGAACTTTGGATAGAATAAAAGTACAGTGATGTATAAAGTGATGTCACTTAATCAACAAAGATAAACAAGAGAGAAAAAAATTTTGTCAGGTGTTTTACCAATTCTGTTGAACTTTGTAGACCGGGCATTGTGAGTAATGGCGGAATATTGGAGTCTGTTTGTATCGTTTTCCACATATCCCGGATACTGTCCTCCACATCATCTTCGGTTTGCGCCTGTGAAATTCAATTGAACCAAAGCCATTAATTGTGATCAAGGCTTTTCACACATAGATTTTATTTAGAACATACCTGCACCGACAATGCTTGGAAATCTTTCTGAAGATTTGTTTCTAAATTTGTCATTGAACTATCTACAAGAGAGCAAAATCAAAGCAAATCAATTTGTTATTTAGAGAAATCACACGAAAAAAGTAATGCGATAGTGCTTTGGTCAACTAGTGTATTTACCAGTTGAAGGGAAGGCGGTACTCGTTGCTACCGTCACTGCTGACGTCGTATTTTGGACGATTTCATCAAACATACTGGGCGCATCGTTTCGGAAATATTCACTTAGATTTGGGCCGCTCATTTCTTATCAACAATTTCTTTTTTAATTTGGATCCGTTTCTAATGTTTTTGTTCACGAAAAAAAAAGAAGATAAAGAATGGACTATTCGCCTATTGTCATTAGTATGTGTGAGTTGACAATCAACTGTCAACTGTCACAAAGCAACGTTCGTGGAGAGATTTTTCCGTTGAACTAAATAGGCAAGTTTTTGAGGAATGTAAAATTGGAATATGGCTTTTGGATTGACATCAGAGAATAAAAGACAAAAATAGCATTTTTTTCAATGTTAAATGACATTTGTACTAAAAATAATAAACACATTTTTTGTGATTAAAAAAAAAGAACATTTGACGATATCAAAGTCTCCACAGATGCTGTAAAGCTATTTTTGTTGCTTTGTTTTTCATGGATGATTCATTGCAAATTCACTATTGCATGTGTCAAAACAAAGTTCAACTCGAGCCGAGGGCAACTATTCACTTTTTTAACGCAATATCAAATCATTTCTGCTAATTTTCCTTTGCGAAATACCGATTTTCAACCGTTTTTCTTTCATAAATGTGATTCGTTGAAAAGACATTTAAAAATGTTGCTGAAAGTTGTAGTTTTTGTGCTGTTGTCGATGGCATGTCTAGCCGACATAGAAATGATTAAGAAAAAACATAAACCCAAACATAAAGATTGCGATCATCTTAAAACTAAGTTGACTTTGGCGAACAATGATTTTTTGCGATGTGTCATGGATTACAATCAAAATGCAACGTTTTGTTTGGAATGTAAAGAATTTTATACAAGAACGTTTCATAACTATGAACTAATGCTGAACAGCTACGACACAATAGAATCTAACAAGACCTGTCGCGAACTATTTGTTGACAACAACCAATTGAATTTGGTGGAATTGCTCTTCTCAAATGCGAAAAAATTTTGGGACCATGGGTTCTGCTCAGGTGAGATAATATATTAAATACAAGTTTGAAAGAAATAATGTCATCGTAATGTGTTTTTCACATTCAAATTATACTCATAGTGAAAACCGGTTAAAACCATAATTTTCAATTTCCATTTTGATTTCTTCCACAGATTGCTTTGTTCCAGATTGTGATTTTTCCAATGAAACGGAGAATTGTAATTTTTCCGATCATACAATCAATTTTACACGGACTAACTACCTCACCGAACTTTGCATAGATCAAACCTTGCTAAACAGCACCGACAAAATGAAGCCTTGTGAAAACTGTTCAACGAATTATGAGAATTTGAATAAAATTTACAATGACATTCGAGTTCAAACCACTGACAAATTTTGCTTCGCCATAAAAGATATGGTAAGCATCTATATCTATATCTATCTTTCTTTTTCCATCTTTCGTGTAATCATTGCACAAGAATAAATATTTAAATCTCTCCTATTCAAAATTTCAGATGAATAAAACACGAATTCGTTGGTCCAAAGAGTTGCAATGCTGCGGAGACCGAAAATATTCAAAAGAAGAATTCTTAACATTGTCCAGTTCATCGGTGTTCTTTTCGATTATATTCTACGTTGCCATATATTTGTTTGGATTGAGAAAAGAGCGCATTCAGTATGTTCCAGATGATTTAATGCCACCGCCATCAGACGATCAAAATCATTCCAATGGAACCATCATGAACATAAACTCGGAAGAACCATCAACATCAGAGTCACCAGCACCAATCGAACAGAAATTAGCGAAAAAAATCAATGTGTCTGAAGACTCATCGTCCGAAGATGAAGAAATACTCCCGATACAAAATCCGAATTTGATTCAAATCTAAGTCTAATAGACCTTTAAGTGTTAGAATTTATTTTCGCTAATTTTCCAAAAGTGATTTCGGTTAATCTCAGAAAAGTTTCGCTCAAGTGAGAAATTTTCACAATTTTTCAAAAAGAAAGTTCCAAAAAATATGCCATTCCGAGGCCTTATCATCATAAATTTAAGAGAATGTAAAAACTAAAAGCAGACTATGTTGGATAAGCATTTTGATATAAATAAGATTCACAAGAAATCAAATTGGAGCGTTGTTTTTTTTTGGAGAAGTTGTTTACATAAAATTCAACTAAAAATGCGTTTCGTTTCGTGTGACAAACGAACTGTCAAAACTTAACGAACATAAACACACAACCACAGGCACATGCATATGAAAGCACACGCACACACTCATACTTATGCACATCGAAATGCCAACAGACAATCTATAGCATCATCGTAATCACAAAATACACAGACAATCAAAGCAAATACAAGCCCAGCGATTGGTTGTGCGTGTGCTGAGTCGTAGTACTTTGGTCTGTATGCTGTGTTAGTGTGTGTGTGTGTCCCCTCACACAAATACGAATTCAGTATCACTTTTCGTCTCTCGTATCGTGTATATTCGAGTGAGTCGACACAATCATGCGCAAACAAAAATTTCTATAAAACATTGCATTGCAAATGGCGTATTAAACAAGAGGCTCTTCGTTGCTGTCTCCATTAAAATAAATCGTGTATTTTGATAAACAATACGTATTTATCAATAATTTTATGTGCAATTGTTTTCGATTACGAGCATTTCAACCGAGGTATATGGAAATATTTGTGATTGATTGATTTAAAATGGTGTTTGAATGGGGGGGAAAAATACGATTTCGTTGGAATACGGCAAAACCAATAAATTTCCAATGGAAAAAAATGCAAAATTTTAACAAATTTTTTTTTCGGAACGAAAACGAGCTGGAAAAAAATTCTCTGCAAAAAAAAAACCATATCGAAAATAAAAATTATTGAATTTTCAGACAAAAAAAAAGCGATTTTTGTTTTTTATAGAAACGGAATGATTTGGCTTTGGAAAACTACCCAAAATTAATGGCATAAAAAAGTTTCCCGATTTTTTTCTGTTGTTGAATGAGTAGTGTAGTGTTTCGCGCGTAATTTCTTTCGCGTTCGTATCGGTTGGACGACGAACAAGCGAATAATGCGTTCTATCATCTCAACGACTCTGTGGCTCAAGCAAAACTAAACTGAACTCAACTGAACGCTACTCGCGTTTTCGGTATCGAAACAGAGAAGAAAAAAAAGCAACAAACACTTCTCATATATATAGTGTAGAGTGAACAAGCTAAACACATTCAATGTGCGATAGAAAGAGAGTGCGAAATTGAGAGGGTTTGTGTTTGTTGCGTACCGACGACCTCCACATTTTTAAATATAAAATTTACAATCGTCGTTGATAAAAAAAAAAAGAAAACAACAACCAAAACAAAACAAAAGTTCATGCTTCTGAATGGGCATCGGAATTTCGGTGCGATTCTTCGATTTTTCTTGACGTGTTCAATCAATAAATTCGAGCAGGGAGAGAAAGAGAGAGAGAGAGAGAGAGAGGGAGAGAGAAAGATTGTGATATATTTTCCTGTGGTGTTCCGTTTGGCAATAATGAATGAGAGAGATATGAATCGTGCATATTGCAAGAGTGCTCGCGTATTTCAGCTAATTATTGAGCAATCATCGTCTGATGATAACGAATATTGAGCCGCAATTTTTGCGTTTATTCGATTTTCACCGTACTATTTATTTGAAAAAATTCATATCGGCGCGACAATGTACTCGCCGATTATTGCTATGATAAAAACGCAAAACGTCGCCCCAAATAAATATTGCATAGAATTTTCGATTGATGATTTGGCGCCATTTTTTTTGCCAGTCAAACAAATACCAACTCATTATTTATTTTCATCGATCAAAAAGTATTCTTCTGCACGACAAGTGCAAAGCGAAGGAAAATTAATCAAAAAATCGTTCAATTTGTTCAACAGGTGAAGAATTTGCATGGCTGAACATTGTGTGGCATCATGAATGACATTGGCGGAAGTAATAATATAGCTGTGCCTGGAACATCAGCATGGGATCAATTGACCACACCAGCATATTCACAGAATAACAACGATGCAAATGCATCGGTCACACCGACGACACCAACAAAGACAACGCCAAATGAGCCGGCACCAATATTTAGTGGTAACGAAGAATTGCATCCGGATTTGGTGTTGCAGGGATGGCGCAAGTGTTGGTCAAAACGAGAAAATCGCCATTATTTCTGGAACAAATCATCGGGTGAATCGTTGTGGGAGATGCCAAGACATTTTGATCCATTGACTGATCCGCTTGGCATTTGCTCGGGTGGTACACCCCAAACGCCATCACCGCATAATGCTGCGCTAAAGCGACGGCCGTCAGAAGAAACACAAGGGCCTCCAATGAAACGTTTCATTTTGGCTGGTCCATGGGATTTGGAGGTTTGCTCGAACGTGATCATTGTCGAACGACCGCCCACACTCTTCCCACATCCGTACCCAGAGGTCGAAGCGATGCGTGCAGCGTACACAATTCGGCTGATCAAAACGTACGAGGATTTATGCAGTCGCAGGGAAAATATTAAAGCACCACGGGAATCGTTTATGCGCTGGCTAATGGAACGAAAGGTGATCGATCGTGGCTTTGATCCATTGCTACCGAGTCATTGTCATCCGGAAATCTCGCCATCGATGTACCGGGAAATCATGAATGACATCCCATTGAAAATTGTTAAGCCCAAATTCACGGGCGATGCACGCAAACAGCTATCGAAGTATGCAGAAGCTGCAAAGAATCTGATTGAGATTCGATCGGCACCGGCTGAGAGCAAGAAAGTGGTCAAATGGAATGCTGAAGAAACGTTTCAGTGGCTTCGACGTACGGTTGGTGCTAGCTACGAAGGTAAATACACTAGTTGACCAAAGCACGATCGCATTACTTTTTTCGTGTGATTTCTCTAAATAACAAATTAATTTGATTTGCTTTGATTTTGCTCTCTTGTAGATTTCCAAGACAGACTTGCCCATCTCAAGCGACAATGTGAACCACATCTCGTGGCAACGGTCAAAGGCAGCGTGGAACAGTTGTGCTCGAAGATCTATCATTTGTAAGTGAAGGCCTATGTTGACTCTCAGCTCCTTTTTACCTTCAATCACTTTTCATTCTTTACATTTTCCGTCAATAATTTGGAAATTTTCCACCTCAGATCGGCCGAACATGCGCGAAAGATCCGCGAACGACACATGCAACTGTTGAAAGAGAATGGAATTCCACCACCGCAGCCACCGCCAGCGCCACCAATTCTTCGCAAAGTTTGGTGCTATCCCATACAGTTTGTGATACCTCCGCTTAGAATGCCTGTTATTGAATACATTCACGAACGTGACCATATGGTCATTAAATATTCACATGCTTCCATGCCTCAACCTGACACACAGTACATTAATTTGACGCACCTTCAAAAATTAGAGCAATTGTACAGGTACAACTGTTATGATGATAAGAAATTTGATCTCTTCATCGGACGAGTTTGGTGCCTGCTGAGGCGGTATCAAACATTCCTCGGCAACATCACCGGTTCGACAACCGAAGCTGAACTCACCCAATCAGCGCTTCCTGTCAGCGTGTTCGAGTGTCTGCACCGTCACTTTGGCGTCTCATTCGAATGCTTTGCCAGCCCATTGAATAGTTACTTTAGACAATATTGCTCAGCATTTAGTGATACCGATTCATACTTTGGCTCGAGAGGGTAATTACCATTTGCAATAATTATTCCAAAAACATTTTTTTTTGTCCCTTTTTTCGACTTTTTTTGTTTCATTTTTAACTGTCAATTTTCTTAATTTCTATTTATCTTTTAATTTTCAATTTTATTTCAATAAAAAAAAAATGTTTTATTTTTAAAATCGATAACCAGCTTATCTGTGCATTTCACAGGCCATTTTTAGAATTCAAACCGCTCTCTGGATCCTTCCAAGCGAATCCACCAATGTGCGAGGAAATCATTGATGCCACATTGCAACACATAGAACGACTGCTGGCTGACTCACAAGAACCTCTGAGGTAAATCAATCGCACGAACATTGCGCTTTTTTATATTCACGAGAAATTGATCGTTTCAAAAATGCTAGAAAAATGATCGATTCTACTTATCTTCATTATTTTTGTTTAAACTTAATCATAATACTTATTTTTTTATTATTTTTTCAATTTTGATCAATCAAATTTGTGTGTTGCAGTTTCATCGTGTTTCTTCCGGAGATGAAAGAATCCAATTTGCCATTTATGTCACGAGTCGAAGAGAGTCACTTCAAGCGAAAATTAGTCGTTGTGCCCGGCATGGTGCACGAGTACCGTCATGGATATCAGCATGTCTTACCAAAGTAAGTTGGCTTCCAAGATCGATTCCATAATGTTGATTTCAAATTCGAATTTTTATCTCCAATTTTTCGAATTAAATTATAATAAAACATCGAATTTGAATATTGACTCATCAAAATGAATATTTTCCCTCAAAATAAATGCAATCAAATGAAATTTTGGTTAATTTTCCAAATTGCAGAAGTGAAATTTACATGAAAAATATTCACGGCACAATGGTGGTGTGGCTGCAGAATAATGAGGGATTTTCGCGATGGGGCCCAACGGAGAGTCGTGTCGAAGCCTTATTGGAAGCATTTCGACCAGTTCGAGACAAAGAACGTGATAAAGCGCAACAGGATGCGGCAAACGCAACCATTCTAAATCCAGCCACCGAACCAACGGGGCGAAGTAGTAGTAGCACCACTGACTGACCAACAAATACTTTTAAGCCACCGCCAAGCACTTCCTCAGCACCACCACCAACAATAACCAACACCACCACCGCCACCACAATTGCAACAACCTTAACAATAACGTCAGTGGCATCAGCTGCAGCAGCCCCCGCAGCCGTCGCAACGACAACAGCAACATTAACCACAACAACAACAACAACAACAAACGAACCGAAATCATCGTCGGTTCAACAATGATCAATGCAACATCTCAATCAGCCTAAAACGATTAAAACAATTTTACTTATTAAGAATTTCTATGTTTGGACAGAAGAGAATTGTAGAATATAACAAAGAAAAATTGTAAATTTTAGCAACGCCCGGTGCATCGACAAACAAAAAAGCAAAAACACACACACAAATGAAGAAGATGATGAAGATGAAGAAGAAACTATTGTTGACTAACGTTACTTTCAAATCATCCAAAAGTTTATCGCTATTATCGAAATCTTTTTTCTCTGTAAGATATTGTATTTGAACAATTTCATTTTCGCATAGCTGAATTTTCATTTCTAAGGACGAAATTAAAGAAAAATAAAATACAAAAAATTTAAAAGAAAAATTGTAAATTCAAATAAATTATGTCAAATAGTCAATGTTAATTTGACAACGCAGCTTATGAATTTTCATTCAATTTTTTTTCTTCACAAAACTTCTTTTCCTGCTCGTATGAATGATTTTACTTTAAATTTTCTTTTTGTAACAGGTGAAATTCAGCATTCTCCGTAATTTCTGATAAAATTTTCATGGAATTTTTTTTAGCGTAAACCAAATCTATTCTCAGCATGATGTTGAATATCAAGTCCGATTGAGCCAACATGAGCAAGTGAAGGTAGCCAACTTTCAGGCGATTTTCATGCGAGCAACAAGTGCAAAAGCACAACCACTAGCCGTATATACCAAAATGACATAGTTTCTTATCAAGTATGATGTAGATCAAACAATTTAAATTTTGATTATGTTATAGCTGCCATTCATTTTATGAATATCAACATTTTTATCGACGATCGTAATATTCCTGAAATCGCTCTTAATAATTCCAAAAAAAATTCATTTTGGATTCCGCTGCAAATTGCTTTTCAATCTCAGAAAAGACCAGTTTGCGAGTTGACATAATTATTAACACGCTTCATAATTCGATTTGAATTTAGCTCAATAAACTTATAGATAATGAAATTAAAATTGACAAACAAAAGCCATATGCAACTGGATTTTGACGAAAATAGAAATATGGACTAGTGCCGTAAACAGAACCAACCAGCTCATTGGGAATATAAAAGAGTCGCAGTTAAAGTTTTGACTTTTTGACTCAAAACACAGCAACGATTTCAAATCTTTGATGGAGTGAGCTAGATCGCATTTGATCAAGAACAAAAACACGTCTGAGTCATTTGTTTATGCAATAATATCATTGAAAACTAAAGGAATGATAAAGAGGCCGACGAATGAAAGCAAAGCACTAGACACAGCTATTTAATTTGGATTAACTAAAAAATGATCAAAGCTTAGCCAAATAATGAAAAAAAAACTCATCCAATGAGAGAAATCTTAAATTTATCCGAAATTTGTGTTACATTGACCGAAGTTGAAGTCATGGTTTTGGAATTTGAGGTTTGTGTGTATTTCCGCTTATTATTTGGTTTTTCAAACGAATTTCTGTTTCTAAAATAGGATTTATTGTCTTTTACAAACGAAAAATTGAATTTTAAACTTCAAACGCTGACTGAGGTAAACCAAAACCAATTTCGAGGTAAAATAGACGAAAAGAAATTTTCAAGCAAGGAAACAACTCTCAAAAAAAAATCATTGAAGTTTATCTTCAAGTGTTTGTATACATACAATATTGTGTGCTGATTTCTCAATAGGCAAAAATGGTTTCACTTCACCATACCGCAAAAATGACACACAATATAAAAACTATTTCCACGTATTCATTCCCATTTCGATCGTTTGTGTGCAGAAGAAATCATTTTGCCCAGCCTTTTTCCAAATGATTCGATCAGGTGCTCTTCTATTCTATTTGAAAGTCCGCATTTTCAATGGAATTTCCCGAGTCCAATCCATAAAATGTAAAAATGAGTTTAATCGCGTTTTTTCTTTCTCTGCTGCATCAAATGAACGAACGAGCACCACAACAAATGGAAATAGTTTAAGTGTGTTCTGTCTTGCAGCGATCGAGTGATGATGGCGCATTCCATGTGCTTAATTGTATTATTTGGTGCACGCTTGTCCACACAAAACAAGTGCATACACAGCGAATATACCGTGTGGCAAAAAGAGAAGCCATAGAAATATTTGCGCCACAGAATGTACATGTGCATGAAGCATCCGGGACTGCACAGTGTACACTGCATAGCGAGATGAAGAAAGAGATAGAGAGTGCGAGAGAGAAGTGTGCGCCGTGTACATGCGCGCGCCAATGGAATCAATCGCGGCACAAATTCTAAATCCACAAGCGATATCGCAGTGATTTCGAAGAACGAAGAAAATGGGATCATCGATTCCAAACACAAAAATATTATCGCATATTTCGATAAACCTATTTTACATTCGATTCATGGTAAGACACTGTTTGGCTGGTCGGTATCTCTGTGCGCTGTTGATTCCTTATATTGCTTGTGCGACACAGTTTTTCATTTGGCTGTGAAACAAATCCACCATGATGAAAATGGAAACCACCTTCAAAAGATTACACACGATAAGTAGCTTGGGCACAGCAAATCTCTCATAACGAATAGCTCAGCGCTCAATGACGAAAAAAAGAACACACTTACACCGACACACACATGGGCTGATTTATTGAAAACCATTTCGATAAATAATTTCAATTTTTAAGGCCTCGGACGGTGCGCTGTGGCTGGCTGGCTAGTTGACCAGTTAGGCTTAGCTCTTGCTGGCAAAACAAAACGATTCGAAATGTAACTATTTTTATTCAATTGAATAACGACATGTCTGCGTCAATAATAATAATATTAATTGTAACATAAATCATATAAATGGTCACGAGAGAAAGACACACAGTGTGCTGCGACTGGCCGATGTGTGTTATTGGAAATTTGTTACATAAAAAAAGTGCACTCGCACACAACAAACCATTTTTTTACCATTTACACAACCATCGCTTCATGTGTCGCACTGCTAGCCTGGATTTCTAAGTAGAATAGATTATTTCTTGTCTTCGTTCACTCGCTCGCTCTCAGAAACGTCGTTTAAATGTGCCTTGTAACTCAATGCACACAGGTCGTCGCAATGGGCATCTCATGTACTTATCTGATCTGCACAGCGGACACAAATTCACTTAAACATAGTTGCATCGAGATCAGATCTATGTTTACATTGCACACACTCAGCAATTTACTTGCCGCACCAACTCCTTTCGATTGTTGGGCAATTGACGATGATTAGATGGTTTTATTCGACAAACAGACGGGTTTACTGAACAAACAAAACGGTGCGATGGGTTTATTTTTTCTAACAAGATGCTAAAATGTATCATTTTGCGGTTTAGTCTCGGGAATAATAACACTTCGTCGGCGGCTTTAACGACAACTAGAACAAATCCTACTATTTCAGAACGATTTTTTGAACAAAAATATATGCGTAAAAATATCATTTAGAACTAACGATCTATATACGTTATACGATGTCGTGGATCTTCTGGAAGAATAGCATACAAGCATTAAAAAAATGAGTTCTTCTTCTTCTAGTAGAATACAAAATTGTAACGTTTACTAACTAAATAACACAAATAACGTTTTCCTTGGAATTCATAACCATGGAAATTCAAAAACTGATGCGAACTCTCCGTTATTATTGACGCAATTTGATAGGTCTGCTCAAGATAAATTGAGTGTAAAAAATTAGATTAGAATTTGTTAAATTAGAAATCTGTTCTTTTTTTCGTTGACTTACTTACTAGGTTAGGAATGAGTCTTCTCCATCATTTGATCAAACAAAACCGAATATTTGGTGAACAACACCTTCTCTTCCATTACCTCTGATTGCATGCATTCATTCTACTTTTTAGTCTTTTTTTTCATTCCATTGGAGCTTATCTGGTATCTGTGATTGATGAAAAATGCTTTTTCTATAGAAAAAGTGAATTTTATGTCAAAAACGTCTTTTCTTTTCGAAAGAGACATTTTTTAACAAAAATTCTTATCTTTGAATAAACAAAGACGCGTCTTGAATGCCAAGCTGCAGAATCAAGAAAAAAAGTGTTGTTGATGCCAGTGTTAACTTGTTGAATGTGGAACATATCACACTTTAAAAGCATACTTCTTGGCCACGAGTGAAACACCATCTTCTTTGGGACAATGTGCATACTCTGGAGCGTGTGTCGATCAATCAATTTGCAAATCTCTTTTTCATTCAAAAATGTTTTTAATCAAGATTTCTTGAAATCTGACACTTTTTTCCCTCCCATCGGAAATGAAAACTGAAAATATTATCACCAAAATGTGATAAGATCATCTTTCAAATGGAAAGAAATCTTCCAAAAGCGAGAAGAAAAAAAATAACCATCGGAACGAATGGGATTATAGGGGCACACATGTTTAATGTAAGCAATTCAAAATATGTGAAATATGCGAGAGTGTCAAAAAAAAAACAGTCACATTTCAATTTATTAAGATGTTTCTATCGATCGGCACATATAATGAACGTGTGATTATTCCAGATGTAAAAACGAACAGAATATAATGTAAAACTTTCTACAAATGATTGTCGTTTAGTCAAAGTTCACACACACACACACACACACACACAAATAGCGATATATCGAACTGGTGGCCAAATCCGAAATGGAATGCAACGTTCATTCGATCGATTTCGTTTTCAAATAGGTTTCGCTTTTCGACACATGAATAGATATCTGTTTTTTGCATTTGTTTTTTTTTTCGAACACATTATCGATGAACGATCGAAAAACCGACGCAAAATATAATAATTAAATATTCCGACTTTTTTCGTTTCATTGAACAATGAACACTTTTGCGCATTTCAAATTTCATAAAATTCCAAATTCGGCCGTTGTACATTTTCATATTTTGTTGTTGTTGTTGTTATTGCTTCGTTTTGGCTTTGTCTTAATTTTATTTAGGCATATTTGATTGGATCGAATCAATTTTTGGGCAAAATTGTCGGTCTTGAACTCATAATTAGGTGGAAAAGATGGAAAAAAATAAAATTCAAATATTAAACAATATTTTTATTTTCAAAAATAAAACTTGGCGGAGAAAAGCCGCAACGATGACCAGAAGCTGAGATTCATAACCGAAAATAACGCTATCAAATTCTCGGCACATCAACAATGAACTCAACTCATTAGCGCAAAAATTGGTTCATTAACCAAAAACGTTCTAACGTTCTATAAATTTCGAGTGAGTTTACTGTATTTACGATTACCGGTGGGAAATTGTGCTCTTGACTATTTCGATCTGTTTCATTATCGTCGTTCAAAAACCGCCTTTCAACTTCCGAAATAATTGGCTTGCCCAGGGTTCACTCGATTCGACTTGACTCGACTCGGCTCGGCACGGCTTGGCTGTCACCCAAACATGCCAATCAAATGAATTGAATTTCATATGTGATGTTTCTCTTCCAAATTAAAATCGAATATTCCGTTAAATCTGTGGTGAAAAGAGATGATTTGTCGTCGAAAAGACGACGAATCGAAAAAAAACCACACAACCGTCCAACTGATTTTGAATTTGTGCATAAATTTGTGATGCAAATGCCCCTCTATGTTGTTTTTGTCTAAATGATTTGCATAGCAAAAAGACGACAGCAGGTATATCATCGGATTGAGCGTATATTGTTGGCACAAAGTTTATAACCTGTTTGTGCTGGTGTATGAGAAAAAGTGTGCGAACTCGAAAAGAAAGAGAAAGAGTGCGCGCACCGAGAGCGGCCAGAAAGTGAGAATAAAGAGAGCAAAGCAAAGTAAAAATTAAAGAGGAAAAATAAGCGGCACACCGAGCAGCATACACAAAGGCAAGAGAGCCACAGCGAAAGAAACCCATCGTGAGTAAATGGAAGTAAATGGCAAAGAGCAGCAACGGCAGCAGCAGTGACTGAGAGCGGTAAAGAGTAGAGAGAGAGAGAGAGAGAGAGAGAGAGACACCAGCCAAAGCAGTCGAAGCACACGGTGAGATACAAGTGGAGTGGGTAAATCATCAGGAATGAATTGCGGCAGCCGCATTCAAAAACATTTACTCGATTTTCATTCACGATTCGCGTGTGTGTCAGTAACGTTTACTGTTTTTCGTTATTTCTGTTTTGAAGCGAAACAAACGCACATTTCAAATCAAAAACGTTGAAATTACCGTTGATATCAAAAAAACAAACACAAATTTTTCTGTTTGGTTTTTTGATCGACGATTTTTTATTTATTTATTTATTTTTTTTTTTTTTTGCAAATTGGTAAATTTAACAATTATTTTTCCTCCGTATTTTTAAGTGGTTTTGTCATTTTTGTGTGAATAACCGTCGTTTTCTGTCTAAAATAAAAGTCCGTCTGAAAATGGTGTATCATAAAAAAAAATATGTGATCGTTAGATGTAAACTCGTCGAATAGCGCGACGATTTCATTCAAAATGGATTGTGAAAACCGATAATAAAAATGATGCGAAAACGTGTGGATAATGGCACTTAATCAACCCGTTTGGAAAATTGCATTGGATTACTCTTTGGTTCAACGCCGCCGTTGATGAGCTTCATTGTTAATCAATCGCTAAAGACTTGGTTTTTTTTTATTGCAATACTGATAAAGTGACAAGTGCTAAAACGATTCAAGTGTATTTGCTTCCTCAGAAAGTTAAAGATTGCAAATGAAAAGAAAAAAAAAATCGAAAAAGAAATGAGAGAAAGGCTAATATTCCGAATCAAATGCAAATTTCAGCGATATATTGATTCGAGTGCTATTTTTTTTTATAATTACCTGTCGCAATAGCAAAAGCAGAAGAGGAGAAAAAAAATGGTGAAACAGACAAAAACAGTTTGAAAATGATGGAGTAAACAACAACAGAAGCAAAAAAAGAAAATTGCAACCCAAAAATGGAAAAAGCTTATAATTATCGGCAAAGTGATCTGTGAATATATCTATATCTATTTGGTTGTTGTTTTTTTCTCGATGTGTTTTGATGAAATGTGTGATTATGCAGTCATAAATACACATTGGATGAATGATGACGAAAACGATTGGGATTTTTTTTTTCGGTTTTTAAATTTGGTGATCGGTATTTGAGGTTTGAGAATTGGCGACATGAAATGGTGTTTCATCGCCATAAATCTCGAGTACGAAACGACGACAGAGTTTTGTGGGAAAGGCAACGAGACACAAAAACGAAACCAAATGAAATGAAACGAGACGCGTCGATATACCAAAATTGAACAAATCATTCGAAGCCTAAATGATTCTGAACGGGCAGCGCGCACATTTCTCTTTCAATTTGTCAGTGGCCACAAAATCAATTGACAGAGAGAGAGAGAGAGAGAGAGAGAGAGAGAGAGTTTCTCGGTTGGGGCGATTTTGCAAAGGAAATACCTACGAAAAAACAACAACAAATAAATAGTTGAGACTGCATTTCGAATTGGGATAATCACGATATCGTTTTCGAAACGAACTAACGTTAGGCAATGGGGCGCGCTTATATAAATTGGCTTTGGCCAAACTCTGTGCAAATATTCGGCATATTCTCAAGCAAACCGACCAAATCCATCGTGTTTTGGCGATAGCACGGCCGATATGCACGCACACACACACACACACACACACAGTTCATGCAACTCATTGATCTGTTGGTTTTTTTTCCTCATTCTCTCGGTGTTTGTTGTTATTTGTTTTTTTTTTCGACTGGGTTCATAATTCGACATGAAATCATGATAGTTATCGATGCTAATAATATTGCCGATGATCGATGGATTTATAGCTATGAATCGAGCGAGCGAGTGAGAAAGAGAGATCATAATACGAACTGCAGATTGTCGATAAATGATCGCTAAAATATCGTGGAGTGCGCTCCAGTGTAATGCAAACCGATCGTGTTGTTGCTGGTTTCTTTTTTCATCTTTCATTACCGAGCCCAGATTTGATATAAGATCCGTTTTCGTTAATATCAACGCTCTCCCTGTCTTGCCAAATCCACCTGATCGCAGTGCTGTTCCGCTCTCGGTTGTTAATTTATTATCGCATTTAATATAATATTTGGATTTGCTTCTGGTTCCTCTTCGCCACCGCTATCATCGTCATCGTGGCCGCCACTTTGCTCTGGCATTATTATGATTTGGCACTTTTGTGAGATTGATCGAAGAAGCGGCGAGCGCGCACATATTCGGCTGCTGTTCTCATGTTCATTTGTCGAGAGTGATCCGTTACACGAGGCCTCGATCATTCCAGCAAAAATTGATATTTTTACGGCTTCGTCATATGTGATGTGCTTGTTTTTTTCTCTCTCTCTCTCTTCATCTTCTGTTTCTTTATTCGATACCGAAACCATTCATTTTGTGGTATGCTCATAATCGTTATTTTTTCGATATTTTGTTCTTCTAAATCTAAATTAAATTGGTGATCTTAGAACGCGATTTCGGCTATTCACCGATGAATACCAAATTATTGTGTCGAAACAAAAGAAGTGTGTGTGTGTGTGTGTGTGTGAGTATGTTGTCGACATGGGCTACACAATCCGCTAATACTGTTTGCGCTGCGCACACCAATTTATGATAAAAATATTCAGGTTAAGAGCATTTAAATCGAGTCGTAATAAAAGAAATCTAACGGTGCCACAGCAACCGACTGAACAGCACACACACACACACACACACACACACAAAATAATTTAATAGAGATAAATAAATCAATGGCGATCGAAATTGGTGTTTGCAGAAGAAGATGGGAAAACAGCGACATACCGCTGCTCGCGATAAAATTATTCAATCGGCCAATGACATAATTTTTTTGTTTTTGTTTCGGATGGTGGTGTGGCTGGGTTTTTTGCATTCACCGTTTCATTCTTATCAGTTCCATCGTATTACGGGCCCCAAACCTATTATGTCAGAGCATTTTTCCTAATTTCTTAACCAAAGAAAAAGAAGAAATATAACGATTGTGAGAGCATTGTTTATGCGCATACATTATGCGAGTCAATGCAAAGCATTATACATTTTGGTTGCGATAAAAAAAAATCTTTAAATATCAAACTGGGCACAAAAAATTTCATTTTAGAGAAGAAAAAAAAAACGGGTAAATGTAACAGAAAATCGGGTGTAATGGACAGCAACAGCAAAGTCAAAACGGTCAAAATATCAAAGCATCACTCGAATACGACATACCAATCGAATGAAACTAAATCCAACAAATCAAAGAAATATCACCTGAAAATGTTAATTCAATGTGAGTGAAATTCAGTCAATGATGCTTTTGGCCACGTTGAAACGATCCCAAATTCGAACATGATTTGATCTCGCTTTCAGAAATCAATTACCACCCGAGCACGGCCTCTTGTTCATTGAATGCTTTATGAGGTGCATTCGACACAAATTGATATGAAAAGGCTAATCGAAATTACAAATGAAATGTGGTGTATCAGGAATGGGTCTATCTCTCTCTCTCTCTCTCTCTTTCTCGATCTCGTCCGTCTGATTTCGATCGTTTTGCTTTGCACGTAATGCTGCTGTTAAATGCGTTATGTAAAAAAACAAGCATCGAATTGGCCAGAGAGTCTAAAAAACCTGGCCATGCCCGAACTCGATGGGCAAAACGCTTGAATCGAAATGAAACAAAGACAGAGACGTACGAAATAACAACAACGAACGATAAAAAAAAACAAGCAATCACTAAACCGACCACAAATAGCCGAAGAACGCAGACCGAGAAAGCGAGCGAGAGAGAAAAATGTAAAATGAAACGGAAAACTGTCATTTGGATCTCGTTTTTGGGCATATACATATTTTGTGTACCTTCGGAATTCGACGTCTGCTTCGCCGTTGAAATGGTAAAATGACCGACCGAATCATTCGGTTCGAATGCAATCGTTGCCACCGCGCTGTTGCACCTACCTTAGTGATTCAATCGGGCAGAGAGACAGAAAGAGATAAAAATGTAGCGAAAGAAAAGAAATACACTAATTCGAAAAAGAGATGAAAAAAAAAAGAAGTTATGACTGCATTTTTTGTGTTGTGTTTGAAGTCGTTGAACATGATGTAGACGCGTAAATAAAACGGCAACGCATTCGGGCCTGCAAGGGTGATGCAGCCGAAAAAATGGTTCGAGAGAAAAGAGAGGCGATAAGCCGCCAATTCCAAATTCCCATTCCCGAGGAAAGGCTCTACACATTCGCACTTCCATTCATCGTGTGTGTGCACAGCGCACACTCTCGCACACACCGAATTCGAATGGCCGTTGCCGTAATTGACTACGAATCGATATACATATAAAAATGTGTGTGTGTTTTTTTATCTTTCAAAAGTTTGTTTGTGCACAAATGCATTTCGAAAAAGAGTTGAAATGAAGCAAAAAAAAAGCAGCAGCAGCAACAACAACAGCAAAACACATCAAAACCAGAAATCGAATTCACTCCGCAACCAGAAGAAAATATATGAGAGAGCCATTGCGTTGCGTTGAATTTTTACGATTATGATAAAAACGTGTTTTGATTTTTTTTTTCTTTCCCAGTCGAATCGATATTCCAAATAACAACAGCCAACGACAGCATGTGCAATGTAATGCACGGTGCGCGCATAGAGAGAAAATACAGATCGAGAATGAATTTCTCAATGCATATGTAATTAATCCGAAATGGTAAATTTGACCGACATTTCATTTGGAGAACGAACGCAAGCGCGAACTCGTTCGCTTTCAATGTAATCGTATCACGACCACACGAAATTGTCGTTGATCGAAAATTGGCCGTTAATTTCCTAAACACAAAACGATCGAACGATCAAGCATGCAAGCGCACACAACACATACACGACAAAAAAGTGTCAACGATATCATTATTTTGGGCTTGGGAACACACTTCCGACTGGAAGAAAGAAATTTCACTAGACAAGCTCGAGAAAAAAAAACACATTCCACGTTGAAAGCCACTTTTTTAAGCCCGCTGTGTGTGTACGCACATACGCTCACGCTCGAGCTCAACAATCACCTTAATGGCATCTTTAACCTCTAATCAATTTTTCGTTGCGTATAAAAATTAGTTGGAATCGATCGTTTCTTTTATCTCACGTGTTGATTATTCCGGTGTAAATGGGGCGAGCGGGATGGGGCGAAGTGACAAAGAAATGATTAGTTTCTTGTTTATTCCTCCATACGTACGATTAACGGGGCATAGTGTATGGCTTTTTTGTTCGATTTCTTAATGCCAGTGTTGCGCCTCAGAAAATCCACTCAATGCAAGAAAGAAAAAAAAAATCGCATCACAATGACACACATCAAAGGCAAACAACATTATATGCTGCTGGGATACATCTATATATTCCCATGGCTATGAAAAGCACTTACACACTGATAGCAGTAGAATGGCAACGTTTTTTTTTTCTCTTTTCTTTCAATATGTATATTATTATTATTGGTCACTGTTAAAGAATGTGGCACAAGTATTCGAAAATTACTCATAGCGCGCACAAAATCGCTTTCCGCTATCGTCACGATATGCATGCGAAATGGTGAGTGTGTATGTGTTTATGGAAGAGAGTGTGGAAAAGGCTTTCATATGCAGAAAAAAATAAATGATTGTTCAGCTTATTGATATGTAAAAGTGGCATTGTGTGAACAACACACATACGCGGTGACAATGTAACAAAGTCATCGACAGCATGGAATGTATCGCCCTCGAACAAAAAAAAAAAAAAAGCACACACAAAATTCAAAACAACCGACACAGATCCGGACGAGGGAAAACGGTCAATCATCATAAAAATTGTTAATTTATTTATTCATAAATCAATATGAATATTTTTTTTCTCTCCTTTATCATCACACGGTGTCATTTCTTTCTCCAGCATCGAGAGTGTTGATTTGCAATTTATTGAAATTTTTCGGTGTTTTCGGGAGAGAGAAAGAAAAAGAGCTTGAGAGGCGAAAAAAAAGTTCGATGAGGACAAGTTTATTTTAAACAGTTGTGTAAATTTACATTACATATTGATTTCCATATCGAAAGCGTGCACCAGTCTCTCTCTCTCTCTCTCTCTCTCCACTTATCTATCTTTCTCCTAATGCCGTATTTCGGCGAAAGATCGTTCGTTCGTGTATGTGCTTGCGCGCTTTGAGAATCGTGTGTTGCTGTCAACAAAAAAACAAAAAAATCACTTCACACTTACGGATACAATGTAAATGGATGAACACAACAGCCACACAGACACAAACCCACCAGCAGCAGTCACACATTGAGACTAACTTAAGACGATGGTGAATTGAAAAAAAAAAAAAAACAAAACACTAAGCGATGCTGCTTTTGCTTCCCAATATCATATCGCTAGCACATATCGCTGTTTATATGTTTATTTGTATTAATTACAACTTTCGTTCCGACCAGGAATAGATGAATACCATGCCAATACGCTCATGATTTCCGCTTTCAAAAACCGAAATGAAAGTATTAAATTAATATATACAGAAAGAGATCGGTTTGGGCGGTTTTGAGCAAAGTGACTGAGTGTGCGCGCGCACACACAAAGCACAACCTGCCTGTCTGCATTGTGCCCAACATCATTTTTTCTCCAAACCGAATTGTTTTCAATTTTTCCGCTGCCGTTGCGGCACAGCACAGCACAGCTTCAAGTACCTTTTATGTCATACACTCCCCGGTGTATGTTTGCCTTTCGATTGCAAGTCAAGTTGTTTAAATGCGATCAACAAGAGAGAAAGATAGCGAAACCGACCGACCAATACACACAGCTTAATTAAAGCTGTTTGTTTTTTTTTTTTTGGTCAACTTCAATCGTAGTCAATTGCTTTAACTGAAATGAGTCAATTGTCCACGGGCCGAGTTAATTGTTTGGAAATTGAAATAAGTCCGATTGACATAAAACCAAATAGAAAACACACTTTGGCGCCGATAAAAACAAGCCCATTGAATTTTAATCATTTCCAAATACGAATCCACTTAATACGTTGTTATGCCTAAATAATTAGCCGTTTCGAACAAAGTGAAGTGAAAAAAAAATGCAAACAAGTGTACCGCTTAGTCAAATGTACACCTGCAATGCTCAAAACCATTGTAACTGCCGCTCTAATTTCACCGTCTCTTGAAATCTTTGACCATTTTACCGTCGAAGAAAACAACTGCCAAGGGTCAACTCGAAAATCATCATTCGTCCAAAAATTTGATTTGCATGAACGATGTTGCCTATCACTTACTTTTACGCAATGGCGGCATGCGTTCGCTAGATCGTTCACTAGTTGCTTTGAATTCGATTCCGGGTGCAATGCTACGACACCGCTTATATCCAAGCACTGCACATACTTCTTTCACCTTGCATTCAATTGCGGCTGGTGTTGCTGCTGCCACCGCCACACTAGTGCCACAGAAAAGGAATGGTTGCATTGCCATTGCGCAAATGCATCAACCTTTTGTAACACATATGAGAAAAAGAGATGAGAGCTTGTGCGCATAGCCTATTCATGCGCGCGCGCGCGTGCGCACACATCTGCACTCCATACGAAAAATCGATGACAACACAAAACATATGACGATGCAACGAGTGGAGCGAGTGCAGTCGAGCTTACGGGAACGATAATAACACGAACGAAATAAAAAAAAGAAGGTGCACATAGAGTTGCAATGGAAAGGTTGTTGCAAGCCGCGCTGATCGGTGAGCGCGAGCGTGCGCTCTCTCTATCTCGGCGCAAGAGGCGAGCACACCAAAGAAGAAAGTAGAACAAGATTTCTTTGGCATTTTTCAGTTATGTTATTGCATTGATGCGAGAATGTTTTTATTATCATATTAAAATACATATATGCAAAAAGTATATTTGAGGCGGCAGCACACACATGCACGATGGCATCAATTGAATACTTACACTTTGTAAAGCGACGATGGCATTCTCATTCTCTTTGCGCCGTTTATATTATTATTTTTGCCGTTTTTTTTGTTTTTCTTTCCATTTTGCCTGCAAATGCCTCACCAGTCGATTTTTATTTGTTTACTACTCTCACTTCGTGAGTCGGGGCGTGCGCTTGTGCGCAAATGCAAAATAAGAAGCCACCAAAACCAATTGAATCAATAGCGTACACACACACGGCGTATACCGTTCCAATAGGCACGTCGTCACCACATGTTTTGAAGCAAAATTCCGATCAATGACAACCCAAAGACATATGATAGCTCATGAAAAGACATTGGTTTGTGTTGCTGACTTTTTGTTTCTCGCTTTTTCTACGTATATCACGGCATGTGTGTTTTGGTTAATAACTGTTTGTTGGCTTATAAAACACCGAAATCTATTTTGAATTTGAATGCTGTTGCTTCCAGCGCATTTTTATCTCATCTCGTCGCTTCTCTGTATGCGCAAGAGCGCGAGCGATCTCGACTGTTGTGAATATCCAATTAAGCGAATTCAAATGACCAAGTGACTTATATCACACCCGATGATCAAAACGATACGATAAAGCGAATGAGTGTGAGAGAGAGAGAGAGAGAGAGAAATCGCCTATGCCAAGATAAAAGAAAAGAGAAACAAATAAAAAACACACATTCATCCCAAAACACATAGGTATATTTTCAACAGCAATCGATCACTTTTTACGCACTCTCAAATGAACATATAAACGGGCCGATTAACCAAAAAAAAAAAATACATTAACATCATTTGTAGACACAAAATCGAAATTTCGTTTGAAATCACCTTATTAACATCAATAAATATTAATGCAGCTGCTGCTGTGGCAAAAAAAAAGAAAACCACGGAATTTTTGCTTTTCTCCGCGTGCCCGTGCGCGTGCGCTCTCATTTCACTCTTCGGTTGTTGCTTTTATATGATCGCATTTTTCGGTAGGTCGTCGCGCATTTTGTGCGTGTGACTGTCGGTCCATTTTCTTCCATCTAAATTGATTTATTCGTGTGGATTTTCTAAGGAAAATCGATTAAATCAATCGATAGACCGGCGTAACATAAATGAACAAGAAAAAGAGAAGAAAGAATAAAACAAACTGTTGATTTTGTACAAAGTAATTATATGCTAAATCATGCGATTTCAAACGCTATTGCCGAAAACAAGAGAAAAAAAACACCGGACAAAATGGAGAGAAAGAGAACCATAAACACCGACCGAAAAATGCGATCTTTACCGATTTGATCGAATCGGTATTTTGATAGGCTATTCACATTGTGGTTATCTGTATCCCATTTCCGTGCCACATGCATCCAAATCACAAACCAATCAACATCACAAAAACATACTTCGATCAAAGTAATTTCAATGAAAAAGAAAAATATTTAATTTTTTTTTTTTTCAATCTTTGATCACTTTTTTCTATTTGAGAATTTGGAATTTCGTTTAGAAGAAGAAGAAAAACAGTTCATTTGAATTGAGAAGAATAAACAGCAAGTTAATTTTAGATTTTCATTAGCTAAAAATTGAATAGATAGATTAGATTTAGAATCGCAAAAAAAGCAATTCTGAAAATGGATTAATTCTGATGGAAGCAAATACAAATTGAGTGGTTCTTTTTCGCAGCTTGTCGTCTTTACGTTCGATTTTATTGTTGGTGCGAAAGGAATGCAACATACAGAAAAATAGTTACGCGAAAAAAAAGTTTAGCATAGACGAGAGAGAAGAAGAAGTTTTGAAGAGAGGAAGGAAGAGCGGCGAGAACGCGTGAATTGGGTAGAGAAAGAGAGTGAACTTACACAGACTGGAGCACAACAGACACACAGTGACGAAATATAGTTCGGTACGGTGGATAAAATAAAGACAATAATGCTGCAACCAAGAATATTGGTTGGCAGTCATCGAACCGATCAACAGCAACACACTACGAAAATCAATCGGCGAATTTATAAAAAGACTTCAAAAATGTGCGAACAAAGCGAACACTTAACAACAACAACAACAACAACAAAAACACAGAGCACCGCAACAAATCCGGGCGAATGTGGCATCAACATTAAACGAAGGCAAACGACACACAGATCAGCTCGACTCTTGTCACCAGCTCTAAATATCACGTCGTTGTCGTCGTCGTTGTCACTACACAACTTAGCCACATTTCTAATATTAGCAATTACATTATACAGCACTACAATATGTATGGCCCAATTATCCGGTGAGTACATGAAACTTGTTTCCATCTCTATTTTTCGTGTTTTGTTTTTAGTTAGTCGATTTTTCCTTGTGTATCTCAAAATGAGCACACACAAAAAACACAATTATTGTATTACAAGTTAATCCCTACCCAATCTCCTTCAACCCTCTCTAGTTAATATTGTGCTGTCACCTTCTACGGTCTTTTTTTTTTGCTCGATTGATTTTTAAAAACAATTTCATCTTCTGCAATAAGATAGAGCGTTTTGTTTTAAAACTGTTGGTAATGACTGTTGGATACCACGAGCACAATCAATATCAAGCATTGAGTCGTTGGCCAGCACAATTTTCATTTTTTTCGATTTTGGTTTTTGTACATATTTACCCTAACGATTTACTAGTTGCATTTTCTATTTCACATACTATTTGAATTAGGATTCAAACGAATCTTCCTACTACTTCAATTCAATTCCCATACAAATGTTGTCGCCCCAAACTCTCAACCATATTTAGATTAGAAGTAAATTAATTCACATTTTGCCGAAATTTAGCTCAAAATTATATTTAAACGAGATCATTTTACAATTAAAATAGATCATTTTACTAAACATAGAAAGAAAAACAAAAACTCCGTTTTACCGATATCGTAAATTAGACTTTAAGTTTTCGCTTCCGTGAGCTTTAAATAAGGATGTTTAACGAGCTGAATAAAACAACAACAACAACAGCAACGGTAATCATAAATTTTACTCCCATTCCAATTTATAATTCGACTTCATTTGACATTGGATTGCGTGTGTTACTTTCTAGCTATATAAATATATTTATCTTATGCATCGATTTATCTGCAAACAAAAGGTTGCGTCATCAAATGTAGCGCTTTTTTCTTTCTTTCTTCTGTCTGGCTGTTGTGTTGTTCGCATGTTTTTCAGTGAGTTTTCCACTTTTGCAGCAAAACTAATAAAAAGAAAATACAAAATGCCAGTTGATTGAAATGAAGTCGTTTCAGTGATTTTACTTTATTTTTTAAATTCGCTTCCGCGCAAGCAATTACACATGGATATGAAAAATAGGCGCGAGACAGCTTGTCGAATGTATGCTGATTAGTGCGTATTAATAACGGCTACAATGATTATATTTTTTTTTTTTTTTCATTAATGCGCCACAATTAACTTAAAGGCATTCGATAGACACATACATTGCACGGGGTCGCTTCTCCGTGCGACGAGAGAGTGTTGAATACTATGTGAGCTTCAATTAAATCGTTTTTCGCCTGATAAGTCTTATTTTTCGAGCTCGAGAGCGCGCGTGTGCTCGCTCGCCTTGCCTAAAAATTGCCTACACACCAACCTAATGTCGTAATGGCATATAACATGCCGATTTATTTATTCATAAATTTTATAACAACGTGAATATGTGCAGTGTGCCGAAGTCAGTGCTCAACTGCACGTTTTTTGTACGGGATATTGTTCGCTATACATATATCTGCTTGAACACAGCAACTAGAAAAAAAATGCATGTGTGCAAACCGAAAGAGACAACACACCGAATGTAGATTGTTGGTTTTTTTTTTCTCTTCATTTTGAACTGCTTTTTTTTGTTGTTTTTCGTCTTGAACGGTAGCAATTCACATCATACACATACCGTGAAACAGAATTTTTGAAGTGGAGTTTGCAATGTGCCAGAAGTGAATCCATCGCTTGATCTCTCACTCACCCAGTTGTGATGGATTTTTGTTCGTTCTCATATTCGAAATAAATCTATCTGAATTGAAGAAGAAGCAATGCACCTTTGCATTCACATGTCTTGCACTTATGCATCACATCGGCAGCGCCAGTCGAAGAGGCGAAGAAGTGCAGCAACAAAAAAAAAATACCATTCGATGCATATTATGTATTCATTAAGATCTTAAGCATATGAGCCGTATGAAATGAGGTGTCTTGCAATCACTATCACATCATGATAGCAACGAACAACGAAAAAAAAACAAACAACGTACACATACTACGCGAGCGCGAAAAAAGTATAATAATCTAATTGCATACAATTCGCATATAAATAAAGTTGTAATAATTTATGGCCACATGTAATGGAAATATGTGAAGAGTCGAAGCTGCTGACTTGCTACAGCTGCCTTTTTAGCGTTGCTTTTTTGATGATTTGTTGATTCGTTTTTTTTTCTCTTCTGTTCTTTCTTCTCCGGTTTTCGTTGTTTTCGTTAACATTTTTGTTTCATTTTAAAATAATAATAGCGGTAATTCAGAGTCGTTGAAATGCACACACGAAATCAAATCTATTAACAATATTGTAGCCGATGAGATATGATGTAATGCGGTGATTTGCTTGCATCTCTGATGCATTCCGATTATAATTTTCTGTTCAGTGAATGTCGATTTAATGCGGCGGGAAAGGATTCACACGAAATATTCTTCCATTTTCCATGCACACATTTCGTTCCCAAAACTTTTCAATATGGTTCCGCATAATTTTCTCCTTCGGTTTTCGATTGTTTTCAGATTAATTTTTTTCTGGCACTTGCAATTCAATTCTCACATTCGATATCTGTTTCCCATTTCTTCGTGAATTTTTTCCTTCGTCTTCTGGATTTGATTTTTGTTAGATTCATTTCTGGTGATTTCCGTAGATTTTTTTTCTACTTCGTTTCCATCATTTTTTGAGCGAAATTTTCTATTCAAATATTTTTCCTGCTTCAAGAGATTTCGTAGCATTTTTCGATTTTATTCAACAGTTTTTTTTTATTCAATTTTTTCATTACTTTTCACTTTTTTTTACTTCGTTTTTCCATAATTGACCATATTTCGTGAAAAAAAATCGCAAAAAAAGTTAAATGTTCAATAAAATCTGAAAACAAATTATGATTTTCCGCATTTGCCACAGCAATTTGCCCTGCTTCACAGGTCCTAAATGAAGTAGGCCAATCTATATTTTGTGTCTTGTTAAAAAAAATCAAAAGAACATGAAAAAGAAATGTGTGTTGACGTGAAGTTGTGCGGATGACATAAACGACATCGTAAATTAGACGTACACAGCCTATAGGCACCGCGCCACCGTGCCACCGTGCCACTATACCATGAGCTGCTGGAAACAAAAGAATGAAACAATTTACATTCTAGTAATTTGCCATTATTTTATGATCATGTCAGTTCCTGACGGAGTGTGCACTGCTGAGGTTTGCATGTGGCTGAGATAACATTGACAAGTTCGCATGTCACAAACAATGTCACAGCTCGATATAGCAAGTGCACTTGGAAAAGCGGAAAAGGCATTAAAAAAAAACGAACAACAACAAAAAACTGAAATAAAATGAAAATAAAAAGCAAGAGAGAACCATAAAAACGAAAGAATGCGATTGAAAAAACTCTGACGCCGTCGTATTTTCACATCATTAGTCAAATCGATGTGACCCGTATTCTAGAGAACACTCACACTCCATGGCGCTCCATTCCAATTGGACTTTGTAGATTGGTTGTGTGTACTTTTCTTCGCTTGTTCGCATTGTCGGTGTGAACATTTCCATCTCGTTTAATGAACATGTAAAAAATGATCGGAAGAGAGCGGGAGAGAGAGAGAGAGAGAGAGAGAGAGAGAGAGAGAGAGAGAGAGAGAG